GCTTTATTAAAGGAATTCCTAAAAATAACTATCCATAAAATTAAAAGATTCTGATCTTCAAACTCTCTTTGTTCTTCTGCCAGGACAGAATGTTGGCTGCCTTTTTTTTTTTTCTTTTTCTTTTGATACTTGTTGCCAGGCTGTGACAAGGGTAAAAATCTCAAAGTGCTGTATGTTTTCTTCCCACGGAAGCAAAATATCTGCATTTCCTCAGCAGCAGCCCCGATGTGAATGTGGATCAGGATCACTGAGCTGTGGCTGCCCAGCGTAAGGAAACCCAGTTGCAGTGTAAGGTCCATACTATGTTAAAACATGAGAGCAGCCATGCTGGTTCAGACTGAGGGTCTAATTTAGCATCCTGTCTTTGGCAGTGGCTGGAAGCAGGTGCCTTGTAAAAAGTAAAAACAGGGCATACATATAAAGCAGGCTCTGAGGTCAGCTCAGTTGGTTCGAGCACCAAGGCTGTGGGTTCAATCCCTGTATAGGCCATTCACGTAAGAGTTGGACTCGATGATCCTTGTGGGTCCCTCTCAGCTCAGAATATTCTGTGATTCTGTGACATGCTCTGAGAAGTGTCCTGGCCTCTGACTGGTCTCAGCCTGGTGGATTTCCTGAACCTGATACCGTTTTCTGTTAGTACCTCTCTCTTCATGGAGTTCTTTTCAAAGCTGTTCAGTGTCCCATGAACCAAAGCACACATTTTGCAAATGCAGCACTGTTTGGTAAGGGTTCCGTGAGTCCACAGCTCCTTAGGTTAAGACCTGCTGTCTTTTGTTTTGAACCTGGTGCCAGTATGCTTCATTTAACAGCCCCTGGTTCTTGCTCAGGGAGATGAAATCAACATTTCATCTGTCTGCTCTACACTCTTTCTGGGCCTCACAGACCCTCTATCATATCATTCCTCTGTCTACTGTCTTATGGCTCAAGGGATCTCACTCAGACAGCAGCTATTCCATACTTTTCCTCATCTTTATAGCATGTTCCTGTACTTTTACCAATTTAAGCATTTCAAGATGAGGAAATTGGAGAGTCAGTTGCAATATTTGAGATGTGGATGATCTGTGGCTTTATACGCTGATGTAACTAATTTCTGTTGTGTTCTCTGTTTCTTTTCAACTCCAAACAGCATTAAGGTCACAACACTATAAAAGTATCTGTCATAACAAGAAGATTTTTTTCCTTAAGTGATAGTGGTCAGCTCAGAGCTTATTGTGTTTATGTAAAGTTGAGATTGGTTTCTTTTTCCAACACTAAATTTCATTTGCCATTTTACTGATCATCTCATACAGTCGATCTGAAGTTCTTCACATGGAGCTCATTTTTACTACCACAAATAACTTGGTACTCTCCAGCTCATCCTTGAGCATGTTGGAAAGGACAGATCCTGGAACAGACCTTGTGGAAGTCAGTAGTTTCTTTCTGCTATTGCAAAAACTGACCACAGACTGCTGTCCTCAGTTTATTCTCTTTTAACCACTTCTTTTCTCATATGATGGAATTCCCTGTTCTCCCACAGATGCTTAGTTTTCGTAAAACTCTTTGGTAAGGAACCGTTGGAAATTCTAGCAGATTGTGTCAGCTAGATAATCTTTATCCACCTTTTACTTTCCTTTATTAAATATGTACAGATTAAGCAGTGAGTGCTTGGACTCTGGCAAGCCAACTGAACAATTTTCTTGTCTCCTCCAATTAAGTATTTTAGACACATTTTACTTACTTGACTCGCATTGTTTCCCAGCTGTTGGCTTCCGATCTTTTCCAGGTGATTCTCATTACTCTGAGTTCTCTCAAAGTGTGGTGGAGGGTGAGAGTGGTGTGTGTAAGAAGCTGCCCTTAAATTGCTGATATATCAGTTGAAGATGTATCTACCTAATGCCATTTTTCTTTCACTGTGGATTTTGCTGTAGGTCTGCTACAGAACTTTTTGAGGCATACTGCATGAAAGGAATGACCTTTAATCCTCCTGTTCCATCAGTAACACCCAGAAGAAAGGTACCATCTTGTCTCTGAGTCCTTTTTTAACCACATGATGTACCAAAATAACCCGTATCTGCTGGCTCACTGTGCAGTGCCCAGGCATTGGCACACTCAGTTTGGACTGGTTTCTGTACTTTGCATGTCAAGTATTTCTTTTAACTGGCGTAAGATAGGACTGACTATAAAGAAGGAAAAGTAGCTGTATAAATAGTTCCACCCCCCACAGCTTCAGTTAATGTAGCAAGATGAATATGGTAGCTGTTATTTTGCACTTTGCAGTGGTTCAGTGCAGATTTCTTGGCCCTTTTCTGTAATGATGAACTAATGTTTGTTCAAAAAGCAGTAATAAAAAAACAGCTCTTTCCCCAGTGTGGGTACTTGGCAGGACAGCTGGATTTCCAGAGCCTTTGATTCAGTATGTAGAGGGATACTGATCCCTATTACTGTCACTGTAGCTTTAAAGTCTAAATTTGAGGGGAACAAAGAGTTCATGTATAAAGATGAGAAATGGGGGACCAGTTTTTATGTCCTCAGCACTGTTCCAGATGCCAGCCTCCATTAAATGTCCAGTGAGGAGTGTCCTTTAAAAAGTGATAATTTTCTTTCTTCCTAATGAAAACATTATAACCTTTTAACTTAGTCAGTGCTCCACTCTGTAAGAAGTCAGTAATGCCAGTTGAAGCCTTGAGAGCACTTTCTTTTTTTTTTTTCCATTTTAGAGAAGCAACTTCTGAAAATGTGTTGGTACTTACTTATTCCATTGTTTTACAATGACTTCTTGAGGTGTCTGTCCTGCTAGGGAGTTATATTAGCACCTCTGAGAGACCAAGGCTGGGAACAGCAGATAGGAGAGAGATTTGAGCTGTAGTGCTTGAATAAGGAAAAGCAAAAGCTTTTTAAGGTAGCAGAAACAAAGGAAGAGGAAAATAAGAGAGAACAAACTGTCCATAGGTGGTTATAATGGACATAACTGGGAAAATCACTCTGGGGCTTTGCCAGCTCTCTGGTTGTTGGGCTCATTTAACATTGGCAGTATCTAAGTTTTATCCTCTCCGTCCTGCATAGTCTGTGTGCAACGTTGACATTGTCAGCACCTCCCTGGTGTTGATAGAAGCTCCAAATTGGAGCCCTGTGCACTACTAAAGATCTCATTTGTCCTTGAGTGCACAATGTACTTGACTGTGTGAGTGCTAAGACTTTAATGGGAAAGTTTAAATCGTGTGTGACCATAATTCCTCATCTGAGCACCAGGAAAGAGTGGAAGGCTCCGGCTCTGGCTGGAGGCAGAAGGGTCAGGGCATTCCTTTCTGACTCACAACCTCTACTGTGAGCACTGGCCTTTTAATCAGAGATGCCTGATTTATTTATATAAGTGCTCTGATTTCTGTTTCGAAGGTGTGTTGAACAGGAAGCAGTGTGTAAGCACCTCCAGAACTGCAAGCTGTGGCTGTGTCTAGTAGGTAATATTCTAAAGCCCAGTTAACCACAAAACAAAAAAAAACCCACCAAAACCACGAGCTTATGAAGGGCTGACACATCACTTCCTTGCAAGAAAAGGGAAACTTACTGGCAGGCCAGGCAGGCGTGAGCGGCCAGTTCCATAGGTCTGGTCTAGATGACTAGGGGCATGGGAGAGGAATAGGACTGCTAATTTAAGCTATGCATGCTGGCCTCGTTTAGTAATGCAATTAATATTTTGTACTTTTCAGGATACATTCTCACAAATGGATTCATTTGTAGATGAAGAGCTAAACAAGCAGCTTCAACAACACATCAGTGAGACTGTTGTTCACAAATCCTTGGATTTTGCTAAACACTTGAAGGAAACATCTTTGTCATAAATGTACCTATTACTCAACTTCAGTTGGCTTCTTATTTGTGCAGAAAGATTGGCTGAAAAGTATTTCCACTCATCGTTAAAGGAATACAAATAGGCTTTTGTTTGAACATAGAAACACACAAAAATGTAACAGCAGTTTTTGTAACAGAGAGTTACAAGCCTGTCTGCTTAACTACAGAGCCTGTGTTTGCAGTGCTGGGGAACCACAGTGAACAGTCACATCAGTAACTTAAAAAGATACAAAAGAAGGCTATTTAAAAATTGTTTGCTACTATGCATGATTGTATTTTGTTTATATATTTTCTAATTTTTATAACAGAATGTAGACGTGTTTCTAAGAACTCACTGGTTCTGTTGATAAATTAATAAATATTTTGAAAATGTTAACAATATCGACTTCTTTGATGTCTAAATTACTTAGAGATTTGGAACATGTATTTTTTCTGTTGCATTATTTCTGTTTTTCTTCTGATGTCTTCTAACCATTTATCTCACCTTGAAATGACTTTGCATTTGGTGGGGGTTTTCCCCTCTGGTGAATCTTCGTATTGGCAAACTGAGAATATTGAATTTCAGTTCTAAACTGTCGTCATGACTGAATGCTCTATTGCAGTGTCTTCAATAAACCACTGCTCTCAAGAATGATGGACAAATACAAGGTAATATTTATCTTTTTCTTGGAAGTAATTTTCTCCTGGTTCCTCAAATATAAGTTATTGCCTGGTTGTTTTAGAATCCATTTTCAGCTGCTTGTTAGCTTTGCAAACAGTAAGTGAAATATTTAATTAATTAATTAATTAAATTAATTAAAAGGTGAGTATTATCTTTACCTGAATTCCATTCTACAGGGGAGTGTGGTGGGCTGTTCCTGGCTGACAGCTCAGCTAATGTATTTTTGTAGTGTTTATTTATTCTATGATGTGATAATGATAAATGTGTATGTTTTTCAAAGTTTTCATTCAAGTCAGAAAATAGCTTTTTCTCTAGGGTATTTAGTTCTTTATCCTGATTTACGGTTCTTAGTTTTAAAAGTAAATTTCCTTTTTTCTTTTAATACATGGTTTTAGTATTAATCACATTAATTCACCAACTTTCAAATAGTTAAACATAAATTCACTAACATTTTTAGAATAAACTTCTATGTATTAATGGGTTAGAATTAGATTAGATTAGAATTAGATTCCTATTTTACTATGTAGATTGCAAAACTGCATACATTGTACTGATGTTCATAGATGTGTTTCTCTCTGTTTAGGTTGTGATTCCCATGGCTTTTGAATAGTTCTTTTTAGTTGTTAAGTGTTCGCAAATATGGATGTGATTTAAATTCTGAAAAATTCCAAGGGGGCCATTTGCCAATACTTTGGTCAGTTTGGGAAGGCAAAAGCAAAGAGTGAACATCTTAAACCATTTATTTTTTGTACAACATATACAAATACAGGTTTATTCTTCAAGTCAGCAGAGAGAAGATAGTCCAGGTGGAAAATTTTGAAATTATTCATTTTTCATGGTTTCCAAACATATAGAGACTGGCACATAGTGATGTTGCATTGTCAGAATACTTTGACATGCTTTAAGAGGCAAAGGAAGACAACTGTACAACTAAGTCATTCTGAAAGAGCCTATACATCTATTGGAGCAAAAATCTATTTACTGCTATTTATTTTTGTGTTTAATTTGCTAACTCTGCCAAATGTCTATCACTATTTAAGTTGCAAAACATTTATCACAGACAGGAAAAAAATGCCACCATTGGTACATTGAGTGGGCTACCCTAAAAGTAAACTGAGTTTAATAGTGGAATAATAACTGACAGTGATTAAAAACCAAATGCTAATTGAAGCATTCAAAGAGCTAGAGCAGAGCAGACAGTTCAGTTTCAGAAGCTGCAGACTCAGCCTTTCACTGAAATGTAAAGCTACCAGCAAGGTCTTCTTTTCTGAAAATAAACTATGAACGTAAGAGAAAGTGTTCCTGAAATATTTAGATATTTCCATGTTGAAGTCTTTAAATCTCGAAAACGTGATTTCTAGAAGCAGACAGCTTTCTAAAAGCAGCTATTAAGACACTTCACCTTGTATTCACCTAATATTTGTAGCAAGAAAAATAATGTGGCTACTTTAAAAAAAAAAAAAACAAAACTGAGATAGTACTTTTTAGTCTTCTAACTGCTAAAATTTGGGATCAGTAAGATAGAAACAAGAAGATGCAGGCAGGAGCTGGGACTGCCCACCTTTCGTCCCATGCCATAACAAACACCACTGCAAGCAGCACGTGCTGCACAGGGAGGATTTAAGAACTTGGTAGAAGAGTAGCAGTTCTGTAAATAGCACAGAATAAAATGCTTCTGTATTTTTGCCACTAGGCAATGGAACATGAGATTTCCACCGGTAAACTGTTCAATTCCTGCTACTGCTCAGAGACAGCGTGTTTCTGGAAGGTGTTGATTATTTACATTCCTTTCTTTCAAACTTCTTTATACTGGAAACTGCTTCCTGTAAATAGTTTGTAATGTAAAAATGAATGCATTTTCCTAATTGATGTCCACGCCCAGCCAGAAGCACAGAAAAGGACAAAGTTACTTTGTCAGTCTTGTCACAGCAGGGCGTGGACAAATATTCCTGCAGAAATAAAATCCATGGCTAAGCAGAATAAATTTCCTATTAGCATAATAACTTAGCACATGGAAGCTCTTTGAGTCTTCAGAAAAGTTAACCACCCCTCAGTTTAATGCTTCAGGTGGTGGTGTATTTTCACTATTAGGAAACTTGGACCCAACAAAAGGAAGGATATTGTTATTCTTTTCCAAATTCACCCCAAAGTGTACCATGTTTCACCAATGGAAGTTTACCTGGATATTTACCAATACATAAATTTGAAATTAAGTTATATGTGAATATTAGTGAAAATACTAAAACAGGGTAATTAGCCTTACACAATTCCAGATGTCTGCTTGTCTACAAAGTTAGGGTTTTGAAATAAAAAGCTAAATACTTTGCTTTTCTCTTTCACTGTGATAAACAGCAGCAAAAGCAGCTTTTGATGAGACTAATGAGGAAGATATTCATATTAATAAACTGCTCCCACAGCTAGAAATATTCTGTATTAGCAGAAACAGTAGACAATCTGCTGATTTTAGATTGCCACCAGACTTCAGGCTAGTGTTAGACCTGTGTTAATGTGACATGGCTGCTGTTGTCCCTTGATTCCCCAAGGTTGTTTTTAATTCTTTTTAAATCTGTGTCAGAAAAGCAGTAGTGGATGACAACACGGGTATAAGAACTTTGTATATTGAATCTAATAAATTAACAAGTGTGTGGTATTTAGGTGATGGTAAGAATTTTCAGTGCTGCTAAAGATTAAAAAAACCCAACCAACCACCACCAAAAAAAAAAAAAAAGTCAGACAGGTAAGGGCAAACTACAGGAACTTAAGTATTGCTTCTAAAATGCCACAGAAACATAAAAAGAAAAATTCTACTGTGTTAAAATAACAGAGAGAATGAAGCTAACATTTAAAAACCATTAGTTGAATTGTGCAGCAGGTTGATATAAGTATTTCCCAGTAATTCCAAAGTATTCCAAAGCAAACTGCATATAAAACTATGTGTAAATTGTCACTTTTAAACATTTTACTTGGGATCAGTCTTGCTTTATGCATGTGCAGGGTTCAAGCTGGTACTGATGAGTGAAGAGGCTGAGCTGGGAGGTGGTTGGGGGTGCTGTATCAGTTCAAAAGTTTGCTTTTGTAAAAGATAAGCAGTGGGAAGTGCATGGCCTCTGTGAGGATATGCCACTGTGAAATTTGACTTTTTTGTATGCCTGTAGATATTTTTCCTGAAAGCTGGAATGACCTCAAGAGGGCAGTTTTTTGCTTTGGTAATAGTTACTTTAGAGGCATTTTCTGTAGTGTATAGTGAAAGACTTCATAGTTTCTGGTGACAGAATGCAGGTTCTGTCTCCTTGTTTATATGACAGTTAATGACTTTTCTTTCTTCTATTTCATTTTCTAATTAATAGGGTGGCATTAGTCATCATGAGACTACTGCCTGTTACTTCTTTCTCTTGTTTAGGGATTGCTCTAGTGAGACAAAAACGTATGCAGAGCAATTTGTTCACCACTTCACATGGGAGATCAAAGCAATTGCTGATTCCAGCAGTTGTTTAATTTGTGCCCCTGTAACTTGGTATGGATTGTTTTAAGTAACTAAACACATTAGTAACTCCCATGGAAATTAAAAAAAAGACTAGCACAACTAACTTCCTTACATATCCAAAGATGAATTCAGCAAACATAAAACTTCACAGCAGTGTTTCTGTGTAAACAAAAATGTCAAGAGTTATAGCGTAAAAGTTCTTTATACTCTCTTTAACAGACAAGTAAAAAGACGTTTCTGACTGTATGGAAAAATGTATTTGAATTCAAAATTTTGAAATGTTAATTACATTTATCAATGCATTGTTTTGAATTTGGTCAGTTTTGGGTATTAAACATCTTGTGCTGAAAAGAAACAACCATAAAAGTTCAAACATATTTTCCTCTAAATCCAGAAAGAGGTAAAAATCTGCATTTTTTAAAAAGTAGTATATGATAAATATATTATACAATGGCATGTACTTTGGAACATGATAATAAATATTCTTTCTTTAAACACAAGCCTGGAAAACAAGAATTTATAAGAAGAAAATGTTGTCAAAGTCTCACTACCAGTTAGGTGTATTTAGCTATTGTACATTATTTTGTTAAAGTAGATAAACCATAAATAATTTTGACTGTTTTGTGTATATTCACCAAAGTGAAACAGATATGCAAATGAAGTTACAGTATATTTAAATCTCTTTACAATCACTTAACACAGTGTTTAACAGAAATCTTCACGTAAAAGTGCGTTATTTTAAAATAATACACATAAAAGAACACTCTGGTTCTCTGCCTTCAGTTTCCTTAGAGGCAACGAGCTAAAATTATCTTTTGTTTAAAAAGGGGAGGGTGATGACACATGTTTGTTTACAACATACAGTCCAAGAAAACTTCTCCATCTGCCTATGGAGAATCTGCAGATGTGAAGATACGGGAAGAGCAGAATCTTCCGATAGCTGACAGGCACCTTTCCAATCTACAGTATCCCATTTAGGATTCGCAGATTCTGGATGTTAATCCAGGAGCATTGCCTGGATTAGGCATCTGTAACACAGGGCACACAATTGGTGACCAGTTCAGTCCACAGCAGGATCCTTCAAAGGCACTGCAGAAGGATTCAGTCATGTAAATTCCAGTTTTAAAAGAGAACAAATGCAGAAGAGGGAACCTGACTGGGCTTTTCCCATAATTTACTTTGCTTTCCTCGAATTCTGATATAGTAGCCAAGAAATAAAGTATCAAATTTATCCCTTCATATTTTAAATACCTTGCAAATGAAAACATTACTTGAACTCAGTAGTATGACAGTGCATGCCAAATAATGCTTTAATAATTAGGTTTATGTGGAAAGAAAAAGGTAGTATTAAACTGGCCATAAGTGAGATGGGATTATTAACACTGAAAAAGATTTCTTGATTTGCAATGAGCTGTAACTTCCCAGTTGCTGTCTCAGTGCTGTAGTAGCACCGTGCGAATGTCTGGTTAGTGTACATTGCTGGACAAGTTGCACTTACTATCTCCTTATAAATGAGACAGTCTTATGTTGTGTGTTTCATTTGTTTGAAGTCAAGCAAGATGGAAGAAATTGAAGAGATACAGAAAGGGTAGTATAAATGTTTAAACATTTCTGGCAAAATTCCCACAGAGAGAAATTAACACCATAAAGTTGTTTTAGCTAAAAAGGAGATGGCCAGTCCTGATGATTTTGTTACCTGCATGTAACAAAAAATAGTAAAAGCTTTACTGGTCACTTCCATTTACTTTGGCCCAGAGCAAAAGAGTAACAGAATTAATCAATTAAGCATCATTACTCATTAAAATGCATACTATAAAATCAACCAGGATGCAGCATTTTAGTTTAGTGTTGTGGGTGGAACTCCAGTCTGATTCACTGGAGCAAATGCCGTAATAAAGGACTGGAGACCTTACTGCTGTCACTGTGCCTGTGCTCATTGTTGGGTAAGGCTTTTAAGGATCTTCCTGTCCCTTGTACCTCACCCTGGTTTAATCTTGGTTTTTTTTGGGGAAAAAAAAAAAAAAATCCTCTGTAAATCACATAAATGATTGCTCAGCGCTAGGATGGGTGTGTCGTACCTGACCAGACCGCAGGCAGTGGGGTGACTACTCCACAATGTCACTGAAGGTCAAGCCGCAGGCAGCCCTTTCGTCCTTGCTCTGGGGACTGTCTGACAACACCTGCAGCGGGGGCGACATGAACCCCCGATACTGCTTACTGGACTTGGTTAACTTCTTCAGCTCACTGGTAAAGGAGATGCCTTTTCTTTTGTCATCTCGTGCTGCCTGTGAAAAAAAAAAGAAGTGGTTTAACAGCTGCTTGTTAGCTGTGAAATACAGGATTAATATGAAAACACCTAACATATTGCTAAGCAAGCCTTCCTTTTGAAATTCAGTACGGCTGTGCTTTCACAGGCAAGCACATCCTACTCTTTGTTCTGAATAAATTAATTTAAAATTACGCCTTGTCAAAGATATGTTTGGCAAATTTGGTATAAACTTGTATAAAGAGATCTGCGCTTATAATACAGTTACTTTAAAGCAACAGGTGCTGTGGATTGGTGGTGTCTGCAGGAAGGCAGAACACAGCTCCTTCTCCCAGTAGGCATGTACTTCATTCCTACCATTTTCTGAAGCCTGAGATAAAGCAACAGAACAACTTTTTCACTGGGCAGGAATAAAGGGGACTTTATTCCAGTAGCTTTTAAGCTCTGCCCATTTGAATGGTCCTTTATTATGATAGAAAGTGTGGCATGCACAGCCAGAAGATTTTGAAAAACAGAAAGCTGGTGGCAGATAAAGGTTGTCCTGGATTTGCAGGCTGTGAGGGAGTCACATTGCTGGATGTAACTGCAGTTTTGCAAAGGAAAAAAAAGTAAGGGAGGTTCAGAGAAAAGAGGAATCTGCTTTTTGCTGTAGTCTGTCTTCCCCACCTGCCCTCATGCCAGTTGTGTCTCCCATTGAAAGCAGATTCCCATTAAGCTGATCACACCGTCTACAACACCTGCTACAAACTATCACATCTTTTACCTGAACCTGTTCTTTGAGCTTCAGGATAAATTTTCCTGCTCCCTTCCATTTGCTTTGGGCCTGAAACACACACTCTTGATCAGAGAGAATCCTCTGAGATGGTTTAGATGTTGAGGACTTTTTGTTTGTTGGCTCTTTTGTCACCTCTTCCAGGAGCACATAATCACTTGGATTTGGATTGCTCAAAATGCTGTAGGAGTATTTCGCTTTGCAAAGAGTCTGTTTAAAAGCAGAGAAAAAATAAGGCAAAAAAAAGAAGGCATTCCCTCAGATTCAGGTTACCAAACCTATTCCTCAGCTAGGAATACTGAGACCAAACCCCACCTTCTATTGTGTGAAGCCAGCCTCCACCCCACATGGAGAGGTGCAGCTCACCTGCTGTATGACGTCCTGAGCCGTGCTGAAGCGGGGAGCCTTGATGACAGTGCGTGGTTGCTCTGGGGAGACATCGTGTACCTGAACAAAGAAACTGTCATCCTCGGAGCTGATGGCCGCTTCTTCCTTTGCTTCTTGAAAGACATTCCTCTCGTTTAAATTCTACAGAGAAAATAAATGAGAGCCAAATTCATCTACTTCAGAGAGGTAACTAATAGCTGGTGGTCACAAAAGGTTTTGATCACGTGGAAATTGGAGACTCTGCTGTAGCTCCAGTCCCATTTTGTTAAATGCATTACAGGAGAGTTTTGACAAGCTACTGCTGCTAATAAATACCTGTGTTTCTACAATCAGTGTCTGAAATACCTTTCCTAGTAGAGGAATGGAGATGTATGCATAGTCACTTAAATCCTTTCTTTCCTTATGCACACAAAATTATGTTTTGTCATCTAACAGTGGCAGTAAGATGGGAGATGGTGGAAAGGGTTGTTTTCTCTCCTGTCCCTGCACTAAAGCCAAAAGTATTTAGAGAGTAAGAAGTTTGAGCAAACATTTTCCTGTGGTGTAGAGCAAGAGGAAGGATGCTTGTTTGTCCCTTTTCAGGCTCTATGACTACTGCAGATTTTAAGACAGAATTCCTCCCTGCACCTTCTCTCAGAGAATGCATTTCTTTCCAACACCTTGGAGCATAAGCTTGGATTCATAAACTGTAAACATGGGCTGTGTTTCACACCCTCCAGTGGACCCACTCCTTGTGTTTCCAATCAGATTTGCAGCTTCATTTCTAGTTCCAAGCTCTGAGGTGCTGCTATTTGCAGAAGGGCTCAAAAATACAGATAATGCTTTGGGGTACTTGCATCACAGGACAAAATTACAGCATAATTTTCACATGAGCTAAGACAGATTTTAACCCCTGTTCTCTAAAAGAATGGAGCTTGGCAGTGACACGTGGGGTGGTGTGCACTGATAAAGTCAGTGTTGCAGTCAATAGAGTTTGATAGGTTACTATTTCCACAAGCAAATTCCTGCCTTTTAACTTTTCGTAATTTTTTTCACCAAATGTTAGAAATAAAGGAAGACAAAATGTGGGCTTATGTAATTTAATCGTAATTTGTCAAATTGAAGCTTTATCCAAAGTTTTATCAGAATAATCAAAAATACATTTTTTTTCACTTTAAAGTATCTCAGAGGATCTCTATCATTTGTGTATGCAAAATCTGTGTACTAAGCAAGCATTTTTGTAGGTTGAACTGACCAAAGAAAGTGTGTCCAAAAATGAGATCACTAGGTGTCTTTCTCCTGCTTTTTCTGTCTCTCACAAGCCTGGCTAGTAGCATATTTTCAAGCTGTAGATGCTTTGCTCACACTTTAAACTGAAGTAACCAGTCCATTTTCCTCCTTTAAATTAAAAGAAATCATCTATTTAATTATTTTTTGTTATAATTAATAATTTAATTATCCTTTGTGATCCTGTTAAGACTTACTCTATCCTTTTAGACTTATTCTATTAAAATTATTTCTAATTTTTCTAGACAGACAAGAAGCTGCTGATATCCAAAACTATTGATAATGGTTGTCTGGAGTTCTGTTATCTATGATCCTTTGGTATTAACTATTATCTTTCTTTATATTAATTTCCTATCATGGCATAATGTAGATTTGCATTAAATTAGAACTCTCACTAAAAACTTGAGGTAGTGGCACTGAACTGGTGACTGAGTGATAACGATTAAACATCACACAGCTGATAGTAAAGCTGAGAGAGGTCCAGTTAGTGCCACACAGGTGCACGAAGTCTAATCGTCCTTGCTCACTCAAGAGTTATGTTTGTTTTTAAACAATGTACACAGCATTGACATTATTCACCAAGCAGTGAAACAAATACTGCACCCTTTTGTTTCCTGGTCCTAAGAGCTATTTTTAGCTATCTTTGTAAATAACAATTTATCTAAAACAGACTTACTTCCTCTCGGGTTTTAAAGATAATCCTTCCAACATATCCTTCTTCTGGGAACCAACTGTTCAAAAGCTGCACTAGCCCTTCTTCAGGACCAATCACTCTCTGGAATGGTGGTTTTCTGCATTCACTCTTTTCTTTAGATATAAAACTCTTCTCTTCCATCAGAAAATAGTCTGCAGCGCATGACTCGGTGCCTTTTATGGTAGCCAAGAGCTAAGACAGACCATAATAAACACACAACAATTAGAATGCTAAATATAAACACTGCATAATTAGTAGTTATAAATGAGGATGAATATGGAAGCTCTAAGAATCGATAACTGTTCTGACAGTGCAGGCAGGCTTTCTGATGTGCTATTTATTATTCAGATATTTTACTCCAGGGTAAGGTCCTGTTCTCTTTAGCGTAGCCAAGCAGTTCAACTATCCCAGACAAGGCAGTACTATTTAAGCTTATTTCTGTCCTGTTTGGCTGGCCAGACAATTTATTCATAATCCCAGGACAGTACAGTCTTTTCCCACTGCTAGAATAACAATCCCTGTTGAGTTAACTGGTTTTTCTACTCATGAACTTGGCCCTCTAACTTTTACTCTGTATTCCTGTGGTGCTCAAGTTCAAAGAATTCTGTAGAAATGTTTGCCCTTGTTGTAAGGACAGCTCACTGCCAATGTTGGGCAAAAAGATTGTTTTTCACATCTTCATATGCCCAAATATTAAAATACTGTTAGGGAATATATTCTAAAATGATAAACCATTTCACTGATTATATTCTGTGTTTGCAATTCCACAGCAATACATTTCTAACAGCACCTCCTTGCTGTGATGGACTCCAACGACCCTGCGTGAGAGAAATGCAGGGAGACTAATGTCCAGAACGATTTTACTGTGGATTCCTGCAGTTGGATCTGCAGTTCAGCAGGAAGCTTACCTGGTGGAGCAGCTGTGCAGCCGTGGTCCCTGCACTTACACTGAAAACAGTGAAAGGCTCCGGGCCTGGAACTCCATGAACCGTCACTTTGTAAGTCACAGCAGCTTTCCTTTCGCCCAGGCTAAACAACTGTTCAGACAACATTCAACAGGTTACTGAATGTTTATACACAGGCATGTAAAAGGTTGCTTAAAAGAAACTGTACATATAAATTGTAAGGACCTCGAGAGAGCAAAGCTATCAAGGTAGTACATGGCTCTTACACTACAGATCGAGGCATTTAAAAAAACACCAACAAACCCTCCAAAAGAGTCCACCCTACCTTGAAGCTGAAGAGAAAGAAGAAAAAGGAAGTTTTCCAGTGAAGGGCAGACTTTCATCACTCATTACACATTGTAGCTGAGCTCACACTATTTAGATTCAGCATACAGGGTGAAAATCTATAGCTTTCTTTTAACCTCCAAACCATTTATGTTCTTCCTTTCTGCCCTAGTAATTCACCAAGATAGATGTTTGGCATGTATTTACAGGAGGATAATATCAGCAACACATCTGCACACAGGAGCTCAGCAGCTTTTATCTAACACTTGAGTAGTCAGCATAATGATAATACAGAAGTTTAAAGTTGCCAAAACACGAGTAACCCATACAACGTAATATTAAGGACTATTAACAAAAAAAATCACATCCATCTATGCATGCATAAATACATACATACATATTTTTAGATGTGTGTATGTATACATATTTGTACATATAAAATATGTGCACACATATATAAGTATGTGTATTTATGGAAATACAGAGTCTTCATTTTCTTGTAATAAAATTCAATTTTATTCTCATTATTCCAAAGTTGTTGATAGTTTGCATCTTTCCTTTTTTTTTTTTTTTTTTGGTCCCAAATGCTTTGCATACAAATCATGCATAAAGGAATGCAGGAGGCAGCACTGGACCTTACTGCTCAACCACACTCCTCCAGCCCAGGGGTTCTTGTGCTATACCTAAATACACCAGAGAAGCCAGACTTTGAAAAGATTTACCCTCCCACAGTTTTAGCCAGGTGGATAACCTTACTTCCATCAAAGCCAAAAAGAAGTAGGCATCAGGTACTTCTGAACAATGTGCAGGTTTAAGGTCCAACATCTTTGAACAGTCTGGCTGTTATTATGACAAGAATACAGGTAATTCACATACACACACAAAAAATTAAATTACCATAGATGCAGGCACAGTGTTTCCAGAGGGACTTTCTTCCATTCTCCGACTGTTTATGAACAAACTGGAAATCTCTAATGTTTCATTGTGCAGGTTATGGAGCTGGACATGTCTGTAGCCTAAAGAGGAAAAATCCGTAAATATTTCACCACATTCTAGGACACAGGTCTCACAAATGGAAAACTCAAATTTGCTGTATTTATAGCTGCAATTTGCCAAACAGGATTTAAGGCACTGTAATAGCACTGCACTAACACTGTACAACAGCGTAACCCAAGTGCTATGAACTGCTGAGTGGCTCATGTTTTGCCATAATATTCAATATATTCATACATAAAATATCTAAATATTAGAATATGAATGAGACAAGATCAAATTATCACTGGGAAAATGCATGTCTGGTCAGATCTCCTCATACACCAACATAGACATTTGTATGATATTACAGTGACACAAAGCACACATGAAAGAGCTCCTGACAACATGGAAACTCCCTCTCCCAGGTGTCACAGAATTAATGATGTTTTCTCATCTCTCTTGCTGTCTTTCACCCTTCCTTCAATTCTCCTCCAGCCACAGCTGCGAGAAGTGCAATCCCCCTCTGCGCAGTGTTCACCCGTTACAGCAGTTTCTTGGGCGAAGGGCAAGGCAGGGAGTGAAACCACTCCATGCTTCTTAAGGGAGCAGCCAGTCTCCAGGTGAACATAACCTCAGAAGCACAGCTCAGGGTCAGAGCAGGTGTAAGATGCCCCTGTCTCCACAACACCACAGGATCAGACTTTTTACAGCTCACTGGGGCAGCTGCCGGCTCCCAAGGAGTCTATTACATCAGCACTGTACTGCCAGGACATGGTATGTAGTCTCATATTTGCTCCCTTCCTCCTCTAGAAAAATGCAACTAGCTGATTAAAAATATCCCTCTGGACAGATTCATTCCAGCAATCTGCTGGACCATTTTGGCACAGGGTGTCACTACAAACTGTACTGTACCTCTCTTTAGCGCTTTGAGGGGAATGATTCTCTGAGCTGTCACAGCTGAGCTGTTATTTTCAACAACGGCGAAGCGGAGAAAGACCAAATCCTCAAAGTGAACCCGGAAAAGGAACTGCTCATTCCACATGGGGTTGAGAGTATTGCGATGAATGGGCTTTGTCCGGAAGTGGCAGCTGTCCAGAGGCATCCCCAGCACATCAATCTCAATGCACGGACTGCCCGTGCTGTTGCTGGGACACACGTTCTGTCCAGACACGATCTGAAGCCGAGGAGTACACAGAGAAACCAATTAGTGGAGTGATTCTTTTGCTGTCATGATTCTGCTAAATATTGTTTAGCACACTCCTAAGAACAGTTTGTTAACGTGCTGATTTAATTACGACACTCCCCTACTTTTGTAATTGCCAGGGCAGTAATTTCAGAAGCAGAGCTGCCTTAACCCCACGCCTAGCACCACTGCTATGGCATCTTTCCTCTGAGAAAAACACACTATGCATCATGAGTGCAGCCATTCACGGCATCTGAAAGCTAATCCAGAAAGAATGTACCAGTAACATAGTCAAAAAGGACCACATTTTCTTCTCCATTACTCTGGGGTGATGACACTGACGTCTGGATTGCTTTGGCATACGCAACACAAGAATTAGGTGTCTAATTACCACATCTGGGACAATTCTGATTCTTATGAATCTCACTTTTCTGACACATTTCCTGGAAGGGATTAGCTTCTGAGAATACTTTTTTTTTGGCCGCAAATCCACAAATTATATATCTTATTATATAAATTGTAAAATTATTTTCTTAAAACATTCAGTACAGCTTTTCATAGTGGCATTTTTGTGTAGCTTCTCAAGCGTTCACAAATGTGTCAAACATCAAGGTACATGTGTCATTTTACACAGTTGTGTAGTCCCAAGCAAAATTCTTTCAGGACTGAGTTTCGATGAATATTGTGAAGGAAACAATGAAAGTAACTATGGATACAAGCCAGCCAATAACATAAAATAAAATAAAATAAAATAAAATAAAGACAAATCTTTTCTCCTTCCCCCTCCAATTTCTGTTAGTTATGCTGACCTTCAGAAGTAAAAGCAACAATTAAAGGTTCAATCTTTCCATTTAGAAGCATGACTGTAATGCTGGTTAAAGACTGTAGTTATGTGTTGTCTACTTCTATCTGTTTGGCTCTATGAAATTCCCTTTTAATGTACTTACTGTTAAGGAATATATAGCTGGCTCCTTATTATCAAAATCTCTTTCCAGTGGACAAAACTGCTGGTACATTGAACAATTTTTATCCCACAGAACTGGAGGTTTCAAAACATATCCACATCCACCATTAGCCTCAAACATTGCTGCATTAAGTTGCAGAGGAAGATCTGTGAAAGTAAAGCAGCCAAAACTGACAGAGAGCAATGGTACAATGGATAAACTTAACAGTGAAGACAAAGTCATATTTTAGGTATCTTTTTAAAAATTATTTTAGTTGTGTACTGTAATTTCATTCTTGATTTTCAGAGATAGCTGGAATTTATGTATCCAATTTATCCAATAATTATACAAAACTATGAGAGCAGTTCCTTCTTTTCTATCCCTTTCCACTGTCTTTATTGAACTGTAGGGCTTGCCTACACCATTTCTCTGAGAAGTTTCTAGGTGTGTGCCCTGAACTGCAGAATGAAAAAGCACTGACCGTGGAAAAGGTGAAGGAACACAAGACAGGATAGCAAAGAGTCCAAAAATGTTTTGATCAACATTAAACCAGCATCCATGGCAGCACTTTCAAGTTAAAAATAGTTCAGTATCCATTTATATTTGAAGTTATCAGAAAGGAGTAACAGTTTCTTGAACTGGGGAGAAAAAAATAACCTTCAACAATAAAATAAAAATGGAAGGTCTTGCTGTCCAGGCACTTCTGTGTTATAGCAGGATCTGCTGCATGGGCATAAAACTCTTGAACTCTGGGATGACTCCTCCCAAGGACCAGATTGTTGTGGTATGAACCTGCTTGTGCTGGGGTGCACAGACAACTAGATCCTCTCATGACAGCAGGGACAAGCAAGCACCAAATACAAATTCACAGTTTAAGGACTTATATCGCCTTTGAATGCATTAAAACGTGTTCATGCACCCATACCATCTGTTTGGTAGTTCAGAGCCACGAGCTGTACCCCGTGGAGCCAGAAGATGAGTGGATGGGGATTTGAGGAGTCGATGCGAGTGGCAGCAGGGTAGGTCCTCAGGAGCTGGCAGGTGGTGTGCTGGATCAGCTTCTGGGAGTAGCGCCTGCACAGCCGCTTGGCAGCGTTCTCGTTCAGGGAGGAGATGTGGTAGCACTTGGGCGTCCTGATGATGGCACTGAGAGAGGCTGGGGAGTTGTAAGGAGAGCAAGGATCTTCCCAGGTTTGCCGCATCACATCCAGAGGACCTGGAAGATAAACAGTACCCTCAAATTACAGCTGCAGGGCCAGAGACTTCAAAAAGTCAATGTTTTCTAGTTGGGTATGTGCTGTAATTACAGGCAGAAAAAGGTGGTTCTGGAAAATGACACTACTCAAGGTAAATGTCACATTCCTTCTTACAGAGGAAGAGCAATCAATGAGAGGAAACATAATGTTTAAGTACTCCAGTAATACCATGATTAGATGTGATAAATAAATAAATAAATATCTTGTTAGTGCCTGCCTAAATATAATAAAGGAATAAAATTCCCTTCTTCCCATTTATACATGAGGAAGGGAGGCAAGACTGAAAGCCATCTGTTAAGTCTCCAAACAGGCAATCTGCAGAGACTGTAAGACTTAGGGGACAAAGGCAGCAAAATAGTCACATACTTGAGAATCAGGTACCAGACTTCTTCATTTTTGGGATACTGGCCTCTGAAAGGAAATCTAACCTGTCTGCTGCAGCCGTGCCCTTGGGCTGCAAGAAATGCAACACTCCCTGAGCCAGAAAATGAGTTCAAGAAAGGGTACAATTCTAACTTTCTGTTTATGGCAATCACTTGAAAGGCAGGGGATCTGGGTCTCCAGAACCTTTTCTGTACTTTCTTTGTATTTCTTGACATCTGTTCATAGGCAGAAGCACAATTTCCCGGTTTACAAACTGAATCACCTGCAGAGTCTGATTTGCACAATTACACATTTGGACTTGGCTGAATTTTAGGCAACTAAGTCCTGCTTCAGGCAATAAAAATTCTTTTCTGGATCCAGCCCAACAGTCCTGCCTTCCATTTGTACTTTCAAAATATTAATTTATACTTTTTAAAGTATAAACTTTAGGATACATCACTTAAAATGTATGTTAGTTTTGAATTGTTTATGAGCTAGGGTCATCATATTTCTGACCAAGTAATCCTATTTTAACATTCCACACTCAACACTTCAGTTATAACAGTGTTACTCTAATAGCTGCTGCACTAACAGAAAACCATTCCAAAGTTCAACATCTTACACATTGCAAAGTATTTGATCTTTAACAACTTGGTCTGGTACATGTGTTGGATTACAGAGTCATTCCACATGACTGGTGAAAGAAGATGCTAACTTTACCTTTTCCAGATGCTTTGGCAAGAGCAGCTGACTCCCCAGGGCTCAGCCTGCCAGGATTGTTGCCAAAAATGGACTTCCTGCTTTTTCTTTCTTTTCCTCTGCTAGAGCCAGATGGGTTTAGAGTTGACAAGCCTGTTCCCATAAATGTTAAATAAATGAGCCAAAAAACATGACCAAGAGGGCATGACATTTTCCATCATATTTTACATTATTTTTGAAGGCATGAATACTCCTGTTATATAGTACACAGAACAAGCAGTGTATTTTTCTCCATATTTTAATTTTAACATCCTTACATATATAGATGCCTTTATATATGTATATATTATACACGATTTTATATATAATGTATGTATATATGTGTATATAATGTATATAAAAACTCATAAGAAGCAATACCATATATGGTTCTCTCTCTGTGATGTAACTTTTCTACATTTTACTTTTTGGGCTTGAGGAATGTAGTGACTTTCTCTCAAATTACCAAATGGTCCTAATCGATACTAAAAAAATCTGCAGTAACAGTCCCATGTATTCATCCTTAGAATAATTTTTAAAAAATAAAAATATTTTCTATAGAAGCAATAAATCTAAACAGTAGTGAATATCATGGAATTCATCTGGGATAGGATACCTACATAATTAAATAAATGCAAGACTATGATTCAAAGATACAAATGAAAAAGTCCAAATGCTGTTGATAGAAGACTTAACTTCAAGATGTTTTCAGAGTTATCTTCTTCTGTTTATTAGTATTTCAATGTTGGGAAAGACAGGTGTGCAAAATCCATTACACATTCATTGGCCAATATGTACTAGAAGTGGATCTGGAAAGCTATAGTATAGCTATTATTCAAACTTGTGCATTCTAGAAACACAATCATTAAAATCACAGCCTAAATCCCTGTGAAGTAAACAGACTCAATCCCATTCAAGTTTAGTTTCTTTGTGTTGACTTGGAGAGAGCACAGGACAGACAAAATCAAAGTAAGCCAAAGTCAAAATGCACAATAGTTATTCTGCCCACAGCAGTGAGGTGTGGGATGGTCTCAGAGACCCAAGATGTATTTGTGATATAGAATATAACAGAGCAAACACTGTTATTTGCCTAACTGTGACTCCTAAAACATTCCTCATTAATTCACATCAATTCACACCTCTCTAAAGACAGTTCAAATAGTAAATCACAGAGGATACACTGGTTCCTCTTCTGCTGAAGTCTGGCCACAGCTGTAAATTTTCAGCTCTCAATCTTTATGGCATGTATAACATGTACTTAGTAAAAATATGCAGATAGTTTCAATGAAACTGCTTGGATTAGTAAAACTTAGGATATATAAAATGTTTTCAGCATTGGAGATGTATTGTCTCTTTGGGCCAAAGCATACACATAAACCACAGAAGATGGTAGAAACTGAGATGAAGGAATATGAACTGACTAGAAGAATGAAGAGTTATGAACTGTGTGCTTCCAACACTATTTAATCTCAGTTTTCAAGGGATCAAATGGATTTGGCAAGGAAGATCCAGGTTTCAAAATCTTGTTGTGGAGGCAGTCACTGAGGAAAGAAGCTAACCTCATAAATCACCAGAGTGCAGTGCAAAACCAGGGCTGACAGAACCCAACGTGATGGCCACAGGGTGAGCTGCAGTTGGGAGTTTCCTTTCAGTCTTTCCCATGGCCATGCTCTGCATGTGACACATCTCTTCCCAGAGGCAAACTCCATTTTGCACTCCAATTTAAACCTGACTCCAAAATACAGCTTCACTTCATTGTAGAATCATAAATTTGCACAATAATGGAGGTTGACAAGGATATGGAAGTAATCTGGTCCACCTCCCTGGTCAAAGTAAGACCAGGTTAGATCCCACCATACTGTACACAGATCCTACTATAACACCATGACAGATGGAATGTTTTGTATTTCTCCACAACCCCTGTGCTATGTTCTTTGACTTACAGAGGTTAGTGCCTGTCTCTCATGTTAGATATAGGCACACTGCTTTACTGCTTTTAGATTTTTTAATCCAGATGACTGCAAACTTCCCTGCCCTTCTTATTCTAATCACACAGACATAACAGGTTAAATTGTAATTCCCACCTTTTCACCACATATTTCAGACCAACAGACAGTCTCTACAGGTTTGCAGATCTTGAAAAAGATTTTACAGCATTTTTGTATGTATATAGGGTGCCCCTTTTCATACTCACTTTAATTTCTTGAAAAGTGATACTATAGGGGCAGATGGTCTGATACAATGGAGATGCTGCCTGAATTTCATGCCAGTTGGCTCAGGTGACTCCCTGCTCTCCCTACTTGATTGTGCAAATTCTGTTTTTATGTACTCAGTTTCTGTACTCATTGTGGAAGGATCCTCAGCACTAAGGCAATGAGCCATGTGCCAGTGGGTTACAGCAGTACTGTGTTCAGGTGTGCTTCACTGCCCTCATCGTGAGAGACCCCAGAGAACAGACCTTCACCCCCTCAGATAATGGTATGATGACATCCAACACACTGTAACGGTCAGAAAGCATGGAAACAACAAGAGCTGTGGTGGGTTCCTTGTTAACACAGATTTTATAAGCAAGAAATGTTATTTTCTCCACGTGATAAATTCTGTTTTGGCCAGGGAATGCTTAGGGAAGTCTGTGTTACTCAGTAGGCTAGGATAAGTGAACATAATGGTCCTTGTCCTTTTTTATAGTCACAAATCGGTGATTAACATCCAGGGACATAGGCAAGTGTAAACACAGAATAAAAATATATGAAGACAGAAGAAATAAAATATTTACACCATTGATTAGACACTGACATGAATTCTGCAGTCCCTATTTCCAAAAGTCTTGCCTTTTCTGAGTTGGTTAGGAATGCAGTCAATAGAGCTGCATAGTCATGGATCTACCAGCCCTGTTTCCATCATTAATGGACACTGTTGGGGTGGCACTGCACCGTGTCTGTGCCCTCTGGATGAGCAGAGGAATCCAATCAGTGGTACCGTGGTCATGAAAGTCTACATTACTCACAGAGCAGGCAGTATTTGCCTCAAAGGAGACAAATACTGTTGGAAAAGTAATTTCTACAGCTTCATGCGTTCATCTGTGAAAAGAGTTCATTTTCTTACTTGTTCTATTCATGACCCCTTTCAAGCAAGAGGAAGAAATCTGATAGGGAAAGCAGGTATTTTGTTTATAAACAAAATTACAAAATTACATTAAAAATGAAATATTTCAAAGTTTTCTTAGAACATCAGAACTTTTTTGTGTGACAAAATGCTTGGAACAACTCAAACTATCTCTATTTAATCTTAAATATCTTTCTTTAAAAGAAAATATTTCATTTGAAAGATATCTCATTGCAGATTTCATTAAAAAGAGTATCAGATTTGAATTTTTAGAAGTCATTATTTTTACAAGTGACACCTACAATTCTTAAAGTTACAGAGGATTATCAAAGAATGTCTGTCCATTTTTCAGCATGTTTATCTTGCCTATTTGACACTATTTTATGTTTGGTTAGCTTCTCTAATCTGATTATAGTTCTGTTTGTATAAGATCATGATTTGGCAGAATTGCTAACTTTTCCGCAGAGAACCATGCCACTAAAAAGCAGATTTTTCATTCAAAACATTAAACACATCAATAAACAATAAATTCTCAATTTAAAAGTGTTTATGTACACAGTATGAGCCAAAATATACCCAACCTCACATTTCAGTACTGAACAAGTAACTATCGGTGATCTCTTCAGTTACTCCCCCTCCTTTTCTCTGCAAACATTATTCTTCCTACTGTACAGAAGAAGACACTCCTATTTCCTTAACTCCTTCCATGAAGATTGTGTGTGAGTGAGCAATCAGCTGTTCTCAGCCACCCCACGAAAAGGCTCTTCTCCTGTCCCCTTAGGGAAGAACAGATGATGCAGTGTAGGCAAAGGTAAAACTCTAAACTGAGGTCGTTTAAAGAAATGTGACACGCTGTTCCTTCAAGGTCTTAAGGATATTTTCCTTCCTAGTTCAGTAGGTCCTTACATGGAAACTCAGAGCTCTTAAGATGAAGCTTTCTGTCATCTGGCGTTTGGCCCTGAAACAGTTGTCTAAGTTGTGAAGACTGGCAAATTTCACTTTTGTAAACATTTTAATATGACAAACAGTATCTAGGCACATAATTTATGAATACTACTTCTCAGCCAGGAGCTGTTATTATGAAGGCTACCAAATCATCAAGAACGACTACTTCAAACTAATTCAAAACATAAACATAATGTCTCCAAGAATGAGAAAGCTTAGAGCAATAAAACAGGGCAGTGTACTCACCAGGGAACTTTACAGCTTGACAGTAAATGACAAGATCTGACAGCTCTGGGGCTATTTGTCTGCTTTCCTTCTTATTTTGCGGAAGATAGAATTCTTCACCCAGCTCCATGTCGTAAACCTGAGTGACAATTCCAAGAACATAATAATAACATTACTGAACGTGGAAGAACTCTAGCATATCTTACTTACGTCTTTAAAATATTTTATCTCTTTCTCCCTACGTGGTTCGTGTCTTCACCTAACACAACTCCCTCCTGTGTGCACATCTACGCAGCAACACATGTTACTGGTTCTGCAGTAGTGTGCAAAGGCCTTAATCACAGTCAGTTCTACAAACATTTAGACAAAACATATCCATGTTCAGGAGAAACTGCAATTTATTAAACAGAAATGCACTGGTTCCATTGTCAGATGATTTAATAAGAGGTACTGTGGCTCTCTGATATCATACTGTGGTATTTTAAAGTTATTTTGATACACAAAGATGCTGAAGATTCAGACGAAACCTTCAGTTCCATCGATATTAATGGAAATTAAATATCTAAATAAGCTCCTGGATCTCGTTTCAATGAAGGTTTCCTTGAGACCAACAACAGTTAAACTTTCAGCCAAACAGCCTCTATATACAATAACATCAGGACTTCTCTTGAACAGTATGTTGAGCATTTGTGTCTTTCCATACTTTCTTCCTTAAATCACATTTTTCCTTCCATATTTGTCTTCCTTAAAGCACATTTGTCATATAATGTCTCATTTACCTAAACTGTCCAAACCCTTTTGAAGCTGGTAATATATCAAAGTGTGGTTGGGAAGAAGGGGAGAAAAAGCAGAACTACCTTTCCTTTATTACTGTATGTGGCACAATCAGCCTTCTTTAGTCGTTTGGCAGTCTCTTCATTGTATTCAAACTGCAGTTTATCACTTGACAATTTATTCTCAGGTCGGTCTTCAAGAATGTTATCTAAAAAGTAATGGGATTTTAATAAACATAAAGCCAAACAATTTCAACTGGAAATTTATTTTGAATTAACAATATTTGTGGACAGTGCTGTGAATCTTATATGAATAACCAGATGCTAAAATAATGCATTAGCTGGTCAAAGCATCATCTTCTAGTAGTAACCTTCTACCTCAAAAATTTAATGCTTGGCTCTGGTTAATACATTGGACTTCCTTTAAAGGCAATCCTTTAGTGTTCAACAGATCCTTAAAACCAAACAATCTGATGAATTAAGTTTGCCATCTGAAAACGACTGGAAGTTCTGAATGACAAAAAATGTCCAAACACAATTAACTACATTAAACATGTACACGCTTTTGTACAGTAGGTTTTGGCTTTCCTCTCCTTACTTTCACTGTGCACAAATATTTTTTCCATCTATAGAAATACCTCTTCAAAGCTACATGTTTATCAAATAATAATATACCTAATAATTTGGTCTTTGTGGACCAAAATATTGCAATTGTCACAAAAGGAATGGTTTTATTTTATTCCTGATATTCCTGATGCTTTGACCATAATCTTTTTATGCATAACCAGTGTTGCTCATGCAGCCTTCTAACAGCTCCTGACCAGTTAACAATGCCATCTAAAAACATCTGATTGCATTTACAATATGAAATAAAAACCACACATTCACACTGTCACATTGAACAGGCTGAAGATGCAATGCTGATTTCATGCAGTTAAAATGCTCAACCAAATGGCTTTTACCTTCCTGGCTGTTAGGAGCAGGAGAAGCATTAAGGACATCAGCTACAGGGAAACGAGTCAGAGAGGGAATAAGAGTAAAGGAAATTAAGATTTACAGCCAGAAAAATGAAAATTTAGTGTCAGTTGTAAAACTATTAGCCTTACTCAAAAAATAAATCAGTAAGAAAAATAAAACTGAATCTCTTTTAGAAAGTTTACAGACCATTACTTTGATTAGTTTTGCCAAAATATTAACATAATTAATGACCCCAAAAAATTATTATTGTAATAAAGTAGTAAACCATGATGCAGATTTCTTCATATATTGGAACATGTGAATGTTTCTTGCTAGCTTCAAGTTTCTCAAACATTCTCTTAACTAGAACATTGCTCAAAAGTCACTTACTGCAGTTATTTTGCAATATTTTCTTCACAAGCATGTTAGCAAAGATCTAAGTTTTCACAGCAATTTAATCTTCACTATCTCCACTCTGTCCCACACAGAGTATTCTCAAGTAGCCAGTTAGGTCAGCTTTCTAGCAAAACACAACTGAAGGCAGCACTTGCATCAAACTTATAAATTTTCATATTGGCATTAAATAATACTGCTATTCCACAAGCAGTGTCAGGTTCTGAACTGCATTCATTAATTTTGTGACTATTTTTTAAATAGTAAGTAATGTAAATAAGAGACAATCTGGGACGAAGTCCTGTGCTGCAGGACATGCTCAACCCTTACGTTTTCTCTGAACATGGCACTTAGAACTTAAACACCTCCCCACTAGACTTAAAGGTTCAGTGAGTGAAGTATATCACTGTTTACTCAGAACAGCCCCAATTCTGTCAGACCAACTGTCCACCTAGCTGAGCATTCTCTGACAGTGGCAACAGGAGATACCATTCAAAGAGAGCAACCGGCTCCACTTCCCGAGTACCACCCCAACATGCACGATTGCTGAACATTAGAGATGTTGCACTAAATATTCCTAACTACAACATTTTCTTATAAATATGTCCATGAATTTCTCCAATCATTTTTTTCAACATGCTGATGCCATTTGGCTCTGCAATTTCCCATGGCAGCATATTCCAGAAGTTTACTACCAGCTGCACAAATAAATATTTTACCTGTTTTAGACTGATCTGCCACTTGTTTTACTGACTACCTCCTAGATCTAATGAGTAACAGTTCTGTACTCCCCTTATCCATCACTTTACGATTTAGTAAATCTGCTTTCTATTCATTTTCTCAGTCCCCTTCTCTACCAGCTGGAGAATTCCAGCCTTCTCAGACTCGTGCAAGGCCACCACTGCACTTGCTTTACTTTTTTTGGCTGCCCGTCTCTCTAACTTCTTTAACCCCATCATATCCTTCTTGAAATCTAGAGGCAAAAACTGGACAGAACTCAAGTTATAACATATTAAGGTTTTATACACAAGCCAAAAGATGTTTTGTTTTCAGCACTGTCCCTGATCATCTCCATCTTTTTGGCTGTCACTGAACACCAAGATGAGCATTTCAGAGAACTTCCAGTATTTCCATGATTTCTGAAACTGATACTGCCATCGTTGATCTTAGAATTAGAATCATATAAACAAGGTTTAAAGGTTTCGCCTCAAATATCCTTACGTTTATCTACACCGAAGCACATCTGCAACTTTTTGTCCCCTTGGTCAGTTTTGTGACTCATTTACAGAGTTTAACAATGGTGCAGGGTTTAACTACCCAAAGAGCTTGGTTTCACTTGTACCATCCCTGCTGTCTTGCTGGGTAAACACACAGTGATCTACCTTGATATATTCTCTGAAAATTACTATTTAAAAAAAGCAAGTAACCCATTTAGATGCATTCAGCTTATTCAATCTGTACATGGAAGTTCTGACAAATATCCTTTGACAAAACTTGAGAGGATTAAATATTTTTTGACATTTTCTGATTCCAACTGTTTTCTCTACCTGAATCAACCAGTCCCACAGAAAAAGAAGCAAAAAGAAAAAAGGCATGACTTCAGCTCAGCTGCCTCAGCAGGGCACATTCTGTACTCATCTGTACTAGAGTCAAGCAAGTAGCAGAAGTTACTAACCGCAATATTTGTTATCACTTCTGCCATGCCAGTCATTAATCCAATCTGTAAACTGCTCCTAAAGGCGGATTTATGCTAAACTGCCAGTACCTGAAGGGTAGGAGAGCTGAAGTGTAGACAGCCCATGAACTTACAAGGCAAGTCACTGAGAGATGTCTTGCCATTTTGTCACTGAGTACTTGATGCTTCAATAAAACCAGCTTCACTGAATAAACCAAGGGCTCAGCAGCTTCTCCACCTTTGCTATGAACAGCTGATGCCTCAGGTGTAACTAGTGGGTACTTCACAGATCATGCAGATGCCAGGGCTATGCTAACTTCAGCTTTCAGGTGTCTATATAAGTAATGTCATTTATAAACACTAGAATTTAGCATACAATGCACAGTTAAAACATATAATGGTTGGACCTAAAGTCATATCCAAGTCCTCTACACAGTCAAATTAATTTCACAATATTAGAGACTACTGCACCAAAGTGCCACCAAGGACATTTAGTACATCTTCCTCTCAAAGTAAGATCAACTCACCTACCTTATTTCTGAACTAGAATATTTACATTCTTATTGCTACAGTTCTAGTAACAGTACTTTAATAAATAAATGAATAAATATTGTTACCATCAGAGAGAGATTCATAGTCATAGTCATATTCATCCTCTTCATCTTCTTCCTCTTCATTGGTAGGTGTGGGGTTGCTAGCACCATTGCTAGCCTGTGCTTGCATATGTGCCAGCTGGTGAGCCTACAACAACAGAATCACTTAGTACATTATCAGTAAGTGCTTTTAAAAAGCAAAAGGGTTTTCACCACTGTTTGCATCTTATTTTATTTATATGAAAGCACTGAATGAGAAATAAGTGAGATTGTTAAGATCAAACTAAAATATCATTTTAAGGGTGTGAAAGTAAAGAAAACCTGTATTGGAAGAAAAACACTTGATAAGATATGAAAGCTAATTAATTACAGGAAAATTTCCACTTCGCACATCAATCAGAGCAAGACTGCTTTTTTGCAGTCTGAGGTATGCTGTTCCAGAAACAGTTTAAAACTTTTTCAAAAGATGGAGCATGTCCACATACTGGTACGAATCAGTGTGATTTACTCATTCTGATACAAGAATTTAGGTCTAATGCAACTGTGTTTACATTTTCAAGGATTCAATCTAATTGCTGACTAACCATAGCCATTATTATATTGACGTTACTATAGATGCAGTCCTAATTTTTAGAAATTAAAAAAATTCTCATACAGGTATAAGCACTTATTTGAATAACAGAGTCCCCCATGAAAAGGGATTAGGGAAGAGAGTATTTGCCTGGATTGAATATGAAAAAAGAAATAAAGCAGAACTCTACCAAAAATTACTGAATATTGTAAATATACACACATACTTAATGCATATCACTATTTCTCAATAAATATGAACAGTAAATGTTATAGACTCGGAGAGAAAATTCATTTATGTTTATCATATAGGGCATGTGGTATTAATCATAATATTATGAAGTATTATAAAACTAATATACACTAAAATTTAATTATGCTGTATCTACACTTTACTATACATCTTATCTACTTATTTGAAAGCATTGCAATCCACTGTGAGTCTTCCAAGCATGAATACACATTAGATTATTCTGCTGTTCATACAGGAATAGCAGAAACTTCAAACACAAATTATTTCTAGCCAAAATTAGGTCTCACTACTTGCTATTAGGGAAAGACTTCACCTTTTGTTTCAATATATCCACTGGTGTTTGATGGGCTTTCAGCTTCTTGTTTTTAAGCAGGATTTTTCTTTTCAGTTGGCCAGGGGAAGGAAGCATGGGATCATCAGAAAAGTCACTCTCAAATAAAAACTTTGTCACCAACTTATCTCCAAATACATTCTGAAATATGAAGAACGTGATAAATTAAGAAAAATCCCAAGGCATGGGCTCAGAGTAATTTACTGCAATTTATGGCCTACCTTGAAGATCTCAGCCATCTTGCGTTGCTGAGGCAAAGAGCAGTGGTTTTCTATGGAAATGATAACTGGCATGTCGGAGGTGATGAACGCGTTGCGATCGATCGCTTCAACCACCTCCTGTGGGAAAGGAGGGCCATCGAAAGAACATGGGGTTATTTTGCAGCATTCAGTTAGTTTACTGTGAGTTGAAAGGGGAGATATCTGTTTTCCTCTCTAAGGAGAAAGGGTCCACGATTTGTTTTCAAAACAAGCCAGCATCTTGTTACAACAGGACTGGTAGTACCTACTTATGTTACTTATGTTGACAATAAAAAGACAGAAAATTACAGTATATATGTTGCAAAAACGAATTTATAAAGCATAATCTTTGGCATTGAGTAGTTCACGTCTGACAATCCATAGTTCATACTCTATTAGGATTTAGCCCATTAGGATTTGTATTCTTCTAGTTGGCAATTTTTTTCCTTTATTATAGAAAAAAGTACTTATTTTCTTCTTGTTTTTCTTGTATCTACGTGCAGTTATCAGCATACCTTAAAAGAGATCTTCGTAGTAAGAGTGTGACCATGATAAATGATAGGCATCCCGTCATCACCATCCCAGCAGTCTAATTCTACACTTCTGCAGCCTTGTAAAAGAACCTACAATGGAATTGAACAGTGTAAGCGCATCTAAGTCACAGTCTCACGCCATCAAAGCAGAAGACAAACATTGCAGAGCTGAATGAAAGCCCAGTGATTCAGCAAGAGCGCTGGAAAGAGCAATCTCTGTAAAGCAAACAGCCCACAGAAGAAAACTGCATTCCCTAACTGAAATCCTCATTTCCCATTGAAAAAAAAGGGGAAAATTAAGAAAGCATGTATGTTCTTAGGAGAATTACCATAAAGTTTTGAAATTCATGGTGTCTTACAGAATACAGAGAATCTGTTTGCAGAAGGTGGTTCCTAATGTATAGCCCAATTTTCTGAGGGAGAGAAACATTTCTACATTTCTCCCTGAAAAAGTAATAATAATAATGGCCAGTCTTCGCGAGCGAAGATCCAGGGAAGGTCTTTCCACCTTCCAGCCTGCGCATTGGATTTTTTAGGTGAGACACAGTGTGCGCGGAACTGAGCCCACCCTTTAATCCTAAGGTTCATCTGCCGGGGCCAAGCGAGCTTGGACGGTGGCAGCGAGGTCCTTAGGACGTAGGTGGGTTGCCTTTTTAAGGGCTAACGAGCCCCACCTGCCCGGGAGTGGCCCTGACCGGGAATCAGAACCCGGGTCTCCGCGGTGATAGCGCGGCGCCTTTACCACTAGACCAGCAGGGGCTCCCCCTGAAAAAAAAAAAAAAAAAAAAGTAGCGGAAAGACAACATGGCAATTTATTCCAGGTTGCTCCCATGACAGCTTATGGGGATAGCTCCAGTTTGTTTGCTGGTTCTTTTTTAGTTTTGTTTGTTTTATTAATTGTCTGAAAATGATGTCTTAAGAAACAACTTCCATGAGTATAGCTAGAATGGAAATGTGCCAGGCCATCTTAATCAATTATATTAAGCTAATTTACATCCATTTTTCATTTATTCATTTATTTATTTTAGAAAGCCCTACTTGCCAGAAAACCACTGAAGGAAGCAAAGGATGAAGGGAAAGATAAGCTAGCCCATCTGTTGACAGCCCAGCTTATTATTGCTGTCAGTATTTAGCATGCCTGTCATCTGTGCTACAATTAAATATTTTACTGAATGGAGATATCTCAACAATAAAACCCATTTCCAGCAGAAACATACAGGAACAAAGAACAAGTTACTCCTCCTACTCAAAATCTGAATAATTTGATTTCAGACAGTTGTGTCCATAGCTGGCACACCACCACTTCTGTGAGAGCCAGACACACCGAGCCAGAACAAGGTGCTCCTTCAGCTGCTGACTTGAGGGACAGGGAGAAACTTTTCTGAATCATGCAAATTTTGAAGGCAGCTGAGCCCTATGTCACTTGTCATCTATTACCAACACAATACTCACATCACCACGTAGTGCTACTACAGGAACCTCTTCAATTGCATTATTCAACGCGATCATGTTATTCAGGATTTCCTAACACAGCCTCATCCCTCTGTCTCATAACCCCAGGTGAAGGAGCACGTGGAACACCAGATGAGCCCTCTTCAATGACGAGTCATTAACATTTAAGGTAATGAAAACACTATTGACAGGAAGTTTGATGTTTTCTCTGGCATTTTGTAAATACAGACACGAAAAAATATATATACAAACAAACACAGAACCAAAAGCCCTAGGGAGAGATCGTTCTGTTCCTGCTCATCACCAATAAGGCATGAAGTCTAAAAACCTGTAGAATATTCCTAGAAGTAATGTTTTTAGAAGTTATAGTTCCATTTGAAATTCGTCTAAGCAGTGAAATGTACAGTATTTCAGTAGTGTTTTTGACATCTGAATGAACTAAAATATTAGATCAGTCTTTCCTGTGGGAAAGTCTAATTTTAGTAGGTTGGGTCAGACCGACTGGTGTCTAAATGCTACGAATCTCAAACTAAACCCATTTTTTTTTTGCCTTAGAAAAGGCATTTGAGCACAACTGTGCTTACAGGCAGCTTTCCCACACATCATGTTTTCCAACATTTTGCAAGCAGAGGTTTAGGACATTTAGATTTTCAAAGCAAAAAGGTCATGTTTCTACAACTTGCCAGTAAAACAAACAAGTTCATGTTGAAAGCTGCACAGCGATCCAATCCTGCATACCTGGCTGTAGAGCTCTACTGAGGACTCCCCTTTAAGCTGATGGCCAGTAAGGTAAGTGTTGTGTGAAGATTCTATGTAGTAATAGGAGAGAGGAAAGTGCAAGTCCTCAGCATTCTCCTGTGATTCATCATTTTTGGAGGCAAAGTTGTCTTTATCCATCAAAAATCTAGAAGTGAGAAGACGTGAGGAAATTTTATGCTGTGCTGAGCATTTTGTGACTGTCATACAAACATTCATTTACTGGTGTCATCTTGAGAGATATATATAGATATAGATATACAAATTAACACATATGTAATTACCTTGCAAATCCTTCAAAAGATAGCAGCCCTTGCTGGCACATATTCACACTGGGTTCAAATTTCTATAAGGAGGAAGAAATTTAGGAAATACATCATAAAAATTCTTAGAAATATGTCTTTGTCATGTTTTCATAGTGTAGTCTGCTCATAGCACTCATCAGTTGGTATGTAAAACCAGTCTTTGGTTAAGGATAATTATGTGCCTGTAAATTATGTTTTACAAATCAGTAAACAAGTATATTGAACTCATAATTGTAAATCATGGAATCATTCAGGTTGGAAAGGATGTTGGGAGGTCATCTATTCCAACCTCCTGTTCAAAGCAGGGTCAGCACTTAAGCTGAAATTAATAAGGGTCTATGATCAGTCATCCCACTCCTATCTACTGTGCTTAAACACAACATACCCCCATCTAAAATTAATGAGACTTGTGGTATTCTAACTTGATGTTTCTTTAGAATTTCTGTCTTTTAAACTTTGCAGTTTTATATTACATGTTGATAGTTGAAAGACGGAGTTTTCAGCCTTTGTTAACTGCCAAGTGGGGGGTTAATTTGGAAGCATATTAATTATGCATGTCTGGAGAAATAAAAAATTTTCTACATACTTCTTAAAATCTTCAGCAATTGTACAAAAGGGAATAAAATGTCAGTGTTTGCTCAGGAATTTTTTTTTATAATAAAATAAAAATATGTGGAAATGGTGCTTTTTTACGTTCCAAATTAAGAGTTAAACTCAATCAAATGTGGTCACAGACAAGGAGAAAACAACGAACGTCACAAATACTTTTCCCAAGTGATGACATCCCTTCCCTCCTAAAGCACACATAGCCAATAAAACTCTTTATCTGCATGATTTTTAAATGAATTTATTTATGGACATCCATAAAATTTTCTAGGCCAAAATAAAGAGAGTATTAAACTTCAAACTGAAGTAAACAGTAGTGGTAATATCAGTGTGAAAGGAGATATCCACACAGATGCTATTCTGACCGGCAGACAATGGCAGTGGGAAAAACGGAAGTAACAGGAGTTCAAGTAAAAAGAAATTTCAAGATATCTGCATTACAGACCTGGATAATACTGAGGATTTCATCATAGGTACAGTGTTCTCCTTGGCAATTCACTAGGAAGTCGTTCAGCTGCTGGATTCCCACTCCAAATATTCCCAGCGTTGTGCTTTCAACTCCAGTACCGTTGGTAACAATGCTGGCAGCAGCAATAGCGTCAGATATTTGCCTCTGGTTGTCTGATAGCTGCTGCCTGCTCTTAATGAACAAACCAAGGTCTGAAACATTTCTAGTCAACAAATCTTGAAAGAAAAATATGGGAATATAAACATAAGGCAAATAATGATGTGTATTATATATATTGTGTAGAATATAATGCAATATACAATGTGCACGAGTATCTGACTGAATATTTTAGCACTGATATAGTAAATTAGAACAAACCCACCTTGCTTTATTCACTTACAAAAGAACAAGAGTCCATGGGAGCAGACTATAAGCGTTCAATTATTGTGAACAAAATCCTGGAATCTTGAACATGGATCCACAGCCCCTCACACACCATCACCCAGGGCTCTCCTTCTTCCTCTCACCACCACAAACAGCCTCAAAGCCTTTTCGTCACTGTGTGCAACCCCATACCCTTCCTGTTCAATCTCTGTTTATCTTCTTCCAGTCCCCTGTGCCAATTGTTCTGCACCCTCCCCACAAGATGACTGGCAGAAAGGCTGTTTTCTTTAAATGTGGCCAAAGTTCAGACTTAGATTAGGGTAACTGGGGAATGTAAAGAGGGACAGAGGCTTCCTTCCCCTTATCCCACATAAAGCAGATCCACTAGGAAACCAGATAAGGAAAAAACAGCCCAATGAGACACAGGCCACAGCCTCCTCATTTATCCTCCCTATGGTTGCTTAGTGTTTTAGCCCTTCCAGAGCTCCTAAAACCTGTACAGATACTTGAGCTCAGCCACTCAGCAACAAGTTTTATGCCTCTGCTAGTATCAGTTACAAATATATTTGTCTAATGGAAAGCCAGAATACTTTTCCTTCCCTTCATTTCTGCCTTTCATCCTGCTTAGTGAAGGCATGGTAGCAGTCCTCTACTTAAACTTATAACTGATGGTTCTTTTCGAGACTGAGACACTTTTTATTGAGGTCAATAACCAAAGTTGCTCAGCAGTCTAACAGCTCAATTTTCCTCTTTAACAAACCTAAATCAGGCTGGAATCCACTGCTATTTTCATCAATCTTCAAGTTAGTATAAAGTGGAGCAGGGTCTAAGCCGGACCGGTTGCAAGGCACAGCATAGATATCAAAAAGGTCTTTCAGGTCCTTGCGGCTACGGACGCTGCAAAAAGAGTGGGAAAGTTCAATTTTTGCTCTTTTATAAACTTGGATGAATGAAATCAGTACAAAATAAAGATATATTTTACCTGAAAGATTTGAAGAGCTCTACAAATTCCACAAAAGTCATGTTACTATCAGACACCATGAAGTTCTGAAACCCCTTCATTCCTCCTTTAACGCGGCCGTGCCAGCTACTGCTGCTCCATGTGCTAAATCAGAAAAAGACTGCTGCAGTTTGGGTACAACTAAACTTCTACTTATGGAAACATTATGCTGTATTGCTGTAGTAATAGTTTATTTGTGCTATCCTTAATGCATTTTTTACCAATATCTGGAAGAAGCAAATAAAGTAGAATCTTGTAAGATGCATAATGACAGTTTGTATCTTCTTGTTTTATATCAACTATTCTTTTCCCTGAAGACAACTGCAAACTTTGCCAGAATTAATAATGTATATGCATGGTATTTAAAGCTTTCATGTGCAAAAGGGTCTGATGCATATGGCACAAATGAAAGCATTCTTGTTTTCCCTTTAAAGAAAACAATTTCAGTATTCTTGTAATGCGGGTTCTTTATGAAGTTCAATAAAGATTTGCTATGGAAAAAATAAAATGGAAGCAGAATTCCTTAAAGCTCTGCTGTCAAAATAAAATGCTAATATTCTGACTGGATACGCAAGAAAACGAAGTATTTTCCTTATGCACCTGGAGTTTCTTATATCTGGGAGCATTGAAGGTGCAGATTTTAAGAAGTATAACCCTTCCCCTTTCCTTGCATTCAGCTCTCATTGTTTCCCAGCCCATGAGTTTCCTTGGATACTTCCCAAGAACAGTTGGGATTGTCATCAGAGACTTCAAAGACAGGTCAAACTACAGTCCCCTTCTTCTGTTAAGATTGGACAGTAGCCCCTGGAGGGCTACTCTCCATTAGAACCAAATGAGGTTCTAATGATTTCTTCCTTTCAGCTTTGTGGATTGAGGGAAGGAAAGCAAACTGGCATTTCTTGAGAGAAAAGGCAGAAGATGATCACAAAACCAACTATCTGTTTGGTGCTATTTATTTTAATTGATTTGAGTAATACCAAGCCCAGCCAATTGCTCTAACTGCAATCACTAATCTAAGATGTGCAGCTGAATAAAGTTTTTGAAATAAAACCAGTACATTTCCAAAAGTCACTCCCCAAAATCTTCAGGCTACTACAGGATTTACACTTGTAAGTGTAGTTAGGCCCTCACTTGAGAAACATGAACAAATCCTTAGTGAATTACATGTAGTAATTTGCAATGAGGGGCTGAGCTCTCGAGCCCCCTCCTGGGCCTAAACAGCAATGAACACACACTGCAGGAATGGGATCTGCCAGCACCACCATCCTGAAAAGGGAGGGATCTAAGCAAACAACTGTCTAGTTTGAACCATAACTGCAGAAGTTATAGTATTTGTTTAAAAATATCAGACAAGGCAACTGTGTGTCAGACTTTATTGCTCTGTAACGTTATACACAAATCCATTAATCTATGAATTCTGCCATCAGGTTCAGTACAAATAGTTCCAACAGCTGCAATGGAAAAACAGGACCAGCTTGTTGTCCAGTGTTTCTGAAGTCATGCCTGCAAGCAGGTGACTTTTTACCCAAATATGCTAGATTAGAATCCTCAATTTACTCCTGGTCTGGGATGAATGCATATAACTGAAAACAGAATGTGACTTAAAAGTATAAAAAAAATCATCTACTTTAGTGGATAACAATCAATTTGTTTAACATCATTACGGCAAGTACTGACATACTGCATATAACTTTTTTTGGATTAAATAATTCCTAACATTTTTATCAAACAAGAAAAATAAATCGTGATGAGGAAAGTTTCTAGACTCCAGAAAACAGACTGGATCTGTAGAGTACCAAATGGAAGACCAACAGGAGAAGAAAATGTTCAGCATTTTACTAGATCTGATCACTAAAGACTATCTTCCAGAGTCATTCCATGGGTAATAAAAAGGCAAAAAACCCTGAAGAAAACCTCACCATCAACAACAACTATATGCACATCTGCTTTGAAAGAATGACAAAATCAGCTGCAGGTTACCTGTGTCTGGAAATCATCTGGACATTTGGATTGTACAAGGATTTATCTGAACGTAAATTATTTGTAAGGACATAAAGAATATCAAGGTTATGAGTTAGATATGTAAAAATACCATTTTTCACTCTCTACCCATAAGAATTACTATTATTTAAAATATACAATAAAGATGGTCAGGTCCTCCTGTTTTTCAACTTTTATCATTATATTTAGAGATTTTTTTCCACTTTATATTATTTTATTTTATTTAGCACTTCTCATTTAGTGGAGACATTGTTCTAATTTACTGCTCAGGTAAAATGATACACATACTAGATGCAAAAAGAACTAGAAATCTCTCTCGCTGTCCTCCTGCTACACTGCAGGACCCAGTGATCACGTGTCACTAGTTCAAGCTTTCTGTGCTGCTGGTGGGACCCTCTGCCCACTGCCCTCCTAAGCTCCAGGTTCTGTGAGGGACTGTGTGCTCACCTAACGTGCTCAAACAGGTCATGTCCAACACTGCCTCCAACTATGAAGCCTTGTCAGTGTTTGAGCCTAAATCCAGATGCTAATCTGAATTACTAAACTCTGCTCATCTCACCATTAGCTCTCATCTGTGCAGTGCTTATACAAATGTGTATAAGTACACCCAGTAGATCCTGTATTTCTGAGGTTATTTCATTATCTAGGTCATTCAAACTTTCTGTTACTTTGGGAAATGGATACTTCATTTTATCTCAAATTATAACGATACTGACAAAACCTGTAGGGTATAACTAAGTATGTAACTTGATTTGTATGAGACTGCAGAATAACAACAAAAATGGGGCAAAAGAGAAACAAAAAATGGCTGTGTTCAGCTTGTGTGGGTTCCCAAACTTCCTCTGCTTGCATATCACCAGGGTTAAGGGCAGCAGCTTCAAGTAAAAACGCTGTGCTGCTCGTAGTCTTTATGTACCACAGCTTGTGAACCGCTGCCCCTGTCTGCTCCTCCCTCACTTCTACCTGTGCTGTCACAGACACCCATTCTGCCACTGTTTCATGTTTGGTGTGTTTTATGCCTGAAACAGCTGAAATAAGCTATGGTATGTTATTGCCTGACAGGCTGCCATATATTTAATGTAACACAAAGCAGTAGGACATGCCATGACTGTGGGTGGATTGCCTGAAGGTACAAACCTTGCTGTGTCCTCCAAGACAGTTTGATGGTTTGAGACTAAGCTCTTTATCCAGATATCTAATTACAGAAGTCTCTGGAGCACCTATTCCCAGAAGAGCACCTAAATTCTAAATTGGAGGCAACAAGCTGGTTTAATGTAAAAGATATCCCAGGAGTAAATTATTACATATATAAGTGGAAGATCACAAGACTTTGGAGGAAAGCACAGAGCCAACTATTTGATAACTTGGACTCACTGATCACAATTGAGGCACATGTGAAGTTCCACACACATGAAAACTGGCAAGCACCATTCAGACCTAACAAGGGTCCACAGACTAAATGCCACAAATAAAACTCTCTCCAATGCTCCAAATCTCTTAATGGCTCACAAAAACTAGGTCAAGGTAATGGGTAAAACATGTAAGTCTGATCTGAGAAGATTTCCACAGGACAGGTGAAAGAGCCATATAACTGTATCCCCAGCAAATTTTAGCAAGAAGTGTCACAGTAAATTTAGGAGCGCTCTGCTCTACCAAGGGATGTATGGAGTTGCTGAGGAAACTTTGCCAGGGAAAACCTGTGATAACTTGGGGAGGTCCACAGTGCAAAGCTGTGCAGGGATCTGCACAGAAACCCAGGACTGAGAGGATTTAAAAGAACATTAGCTGTCCTTCCCCAGGGAACGCGAGTTCCCCGTTGAGCCTTTTAATCTCTTTTAGAGAAAAACAAGCATTTTGGCATAAAAGCAAAAAGCAGATTAGCAAAACACAGAAGCATTTTCCAGAGGCAGTAAAGCAGTATTTCTTCAGTTTAATGTAAAAGAAATCTGTTCTAATACTAAAAAAAAAACAAAAAAAAAAACCACCACCAAAAAACCCACAACCAAAGATAAAAGCTTAGAGAGACAAATCCAAGTTTGTGAATGATAGTAAGGAACAAAAAGTAAAAAACATGGTAAGAATCTCAGAAAGCAGTGCTAAGCAGTATTAAGCCAACCACATCTGTCCACTACTCACACCTGTTGCTAAATCCAACTATTTTAAGTATAAATAAAATCCCCAAGAAATACACAAAAGGAACCATTCCACAAGACACCTCTTTTCCAAAGTAATGTAATACCAACACCAGTAATCTCTTCCATTGTTCACTATTGCTCTTGTGGAACCCCGAAGATTCATATTCACAACCATATTTCAGTATTCATTCTCTTAAAAGCTACTGGAAAGCCTCTGTTGAGACTGTCTTCTTGTATGTTATAAAGTACCATCCACATCCCTGACATATTATGGTTGTTATATTATTATTATCACTGTAACCACCACATTACTATTTATACAATTAATACAATAGAGTACTATGCCACTGCACGTAACATAATGAGCTTTTACACTGCCTAAGTGACATAAAAAGGATGAATATTCAAGGAAAAGAGGCTTATAAGAAAAAGATTTCAAATCTGTTCCTCTGATTCCCAAGACAATACCGCAATCACCACCAGGAATGTTAGTAAAAGTTATTATTCCCCCAGGTAGAAATGAATTATGCTGAGAAACCTCAGAGCTTCAGTTCACACATCTAGAACATTGCTGTTGATTTTCATTATGAACATGTCTATAACTATGTTTTGGAGAAGATCTTGGGAAAGAGTTAAACTCCATATTTGTGTAGCTTTGGAACAACATTCCAATCCCCTTCTGTAACAGACATAAACTGAAGCATGCTGCTCAGGGACTTGCTACAAAGCCATCCTCAGATTCATGGTATTTCAGCTTAAATGTCCTATGTTGTCCTACAATGTGTTTTAGATGCCTACAAAAAAGCTAATGGCATTTCTGGTGTTGTTTCTGTCAGATTTTGCTAGTTTGGCACAAAATCCACACTTAATGATAAGTAACAGTAGCTTCTTTTCCTTTTAAATCAAAGCATTGATTTAAATCCTTACCTAGACTGACTCTTGCTTGAAGATATTACAGGAGACGAGACTGGTCTTGCTGGTGAAGGTGATGTAGCTCCTAAGTTTGGAGACCCAGATGCTGTCAGAGAGTGAGCTCTTCTTGATGGCAGGTTGTTAGATGGAGAAGCATTAATAATAATATTTTGATCTATGGAGAAAACAAAAGTTTTCATCTCAGTTACATCTGGCCTAAAAAAATGCTTTTGTCCAATTCATTAACACAGAGTAGGACACGAACAGCATTCTAGATTTGTCCCAAAACAGCCAAAAGAGTCCATACTGATCAACACTTGCACTTCATCTTAATGGACATACTGAACAACACTTACTTTTCACCTTAATGGAAAGGGAGTGCTACTGAAACTAAGTTAAAGAACAATCATTAACAATTACAGAAATTAATTTAAAAGCTTAAAGCATTTGGAGTGTCAACTGCAAAAGTACGTTTACATAATAAATTCATTTTTAACATAAAAAAAAAAAAGTCTGCATAAAAGACTTTGAACAAAAACCTGATGGACCTTTAAGTACTAAAGCAATATACCTACCTGCTTCTTCTTGTTCATCGATATCTTGAGGATCTGAGCCACTTCTATTACGATATTCCTTACAGCTTTTTGCCTTCCGAGTTGCCATTTCATCATCAGTGGCCTCTCCACTTTCACCCTGGAAATAATGAGCACCATAATAAACATCCCAAACCCACTACTATTTCTGTTCTTTGTAGTGCAACCTGTAACAAAAGCATGAGATAAATCAGCTACTCCTTATGAAACAGACTCCTGGTAAGGTCAATATCAGTAGAAAAGAGACAACTTACACAGGATACATAGTGAAGTGTGGGACCACTCACTGTTACCTCAGTCTGACATCACACAGAAGATGACAATGACTGAACCTCTCTAAAATGTTTCAGCTGGTTTTAAACTATTGCATTGGTGCACAGGAGCCCTAAAGAGGATGGTTCTTTTTCTTTAAGGATCTTCCCTACCTGACCAGTAGAAGAATATATAGTAGTATAGACCTGCTAGTTCCTGCATTATCCTCTCTCCTGCCTATTGCTGAAAGCAGGTGAGTCCAGGAAAAAAGAGAAGACTGCCAGACTAGGTCATGTTCCTGTCACCCACAAGACAAAACTGCATGCTAACATGAAGTGGAATAACTGTGGTAGTATTTCTGGAAACAAAATAAAAACCATTTTAAAAAGTGACATCAGCCTCCAGATGTCACTTTGCATGTTAATATTTTTATTATTACCAATATTTTACCTTTATATTGAGGCAATACCTAAAGGTTGCAAGAAGATTCTGTCCCCTTCTGCTAGCCCCAGCAGCTACACGTCCTAAGAATGCTTCAAGCATGAGAAAAGAAACCAAAACTATTGGAAAACAATAACCACAAAATCTGAAACTGCAATAAACAGTTTTAAAATTATCATCTAACTTTTTTCCTCTGGTTCAGAACACAGTTAGCCACACAGTAATGGCAAGAGGGATACAAATCAGCCAGATAAGCAACAAAATACACAAATAACAAAATATTCTACCCTTATGAGTACTTTCTTCTTTTTCTTAGCTGTGCTTATTCCCAGAGTGTTGTTTCTCTGTACATTAGGTTTGTCAGTGCTTTTGGTGAGAGATCCTGTGCTTGTGTTTCTTGCACTCCATCGTCTGCCTCCGAACAGTTCAACAGCCTGAGCCAAGGTTGGGCCTTCAAACCTTCCATCCTCCTACAAAAATTCTCAGTGTTAACAAAACAAGGAGAATAAGAACAGACACATTTTTTAAAGCAACAATACAGAAATCTCTGAAGAACCAGTGAAAGACAAAACATCGAGAGGAGGCAATTTTTAATTACTGCATGGATACCAAAGGGCTATTTTGTTTGCTGCTTTGTGGAGTTTTTTTGGCCCTAACTCTAATCACTCTGTATTTCAGCTTCCTTTTCAAGTACTGTCATTGCTTTTTCTTTAATAAAATACTTATTCCAAAATTCCAAACATATGAAGAGCTTTAGAAGAAGAAAAAAATTATCCTCAGTGTATTCAAAACTTGTAAGGTTTGACATAACATTGTTTGGAGAATCAGATCTTATTGACTTAAGCAGTGTTACAAAGTTTGAGATTTGGTGCTCATCTTTAATCTAACCTTACTTACAACAGAAACTAATTGGATTACATTAAGTTGTTGATAACTTTGAAATTTTCTTATACAGAATCACAGCATCTTTTACCTGGTAAAGGCTGACATACTGTTTCCGTAGCCACTGTAGTCTTTGATCAGGGAATTTCCTCATTTTTCTTACAGCTTTAGTCAATTCCAGCAATCCATCATACAGCATTCTGGCAGTATATTTTGGAGCAACAAAGTGCAGCAACTTATTATCAGTAGTATGAAGTCCATAAAGTAGTGTTATACCATTTTCTTCAAGGGACATATTACAAAGTTTATTTTGAACACACACAGTGTGCATATCAATGCCCGAGTGTCCCATATATACAGCCTTGGCTGAAAACAAGTCCAAAAACCCTTCCACCAGTCCAGTATTACCAAGAAACTGGTATTTACCAAGCTCAGCAGTATTACCCAGCACACTCACTTTTGCCTTAGCATTTGCAGGGCAAACTGTTGTGGGTTTTGTCCAAGTCAAAGTACTATTGTCAGGCTGAAGTTGAAGAAAGCAACGTGCTGAGAGATGTGTCTCCTGGTCATAATGAATGACGGTTGCCCCTTGTTGCATGAACTGATGGACATCAGCCCTGATAGATAACACGTACCAGGGAATGAGTTCTATCCCATGGCAGAAAGCCTTTTGTTGCTCTTCTGTTGAATTTGTGTCCCATTCCTTCAACTGCTCAAATATGTCACTTTCAGAATCTGAAAGATCTCCAATTATAAATCTGCATGTGAGCAAAGATGAGAGATTTATATTTAGTGAAACATGTGCTGATTTATGCTATGATTGATGAATACTTTTTTCTGCTGCAGTTTAAATAAATAGAATACTATCATTACCATAATTGCAACTTACAGGAACCTCTGTAGCTTTTATAATATTACAATTTATGTTACTGAAATTTTGAATTAATAGATGCTGCAGCAATATAATTATATTTTCTTAGAACTTTCCAAACTTTGCATTAACAATAAAGATATCTGATCAGTTCTTAAAGCCAAGTGATTAAAGTTTTTAAATTCACAGCATAAGATTCCTCCACTGGAAATATCAGGAACCATATGTGAAAACAGTTATCAGGATCTAGTGGACTGAAGGCAGGACTTCTAATCTCTGTTCTATTACTGATTTAATATTCAGACCTTTCACACTATAATACTCTGATTAACACTAATAAAATAGTTGTTAAAATGCATACCTTCCTTAAAAGAATGCAGGAAGAATTTTGTCAAATACTTTGCATCAGAAAATTTAATTTTACTTAATGAAAATGTTAACATGAAACTTGCATACAGCAACTGAAATGTTTGAAATATTCTGCCATAATTAGAAACAGCAGATACAGAGCAACAATACTGAACTAATAGAAGAGGCAGTTTAAATAAAACGCCTTCCCTGAAGAAGTTTCTAATGTGTATGAGTGCATAAATGTTAAATATTTTGATACTCCTTCAGTGAACATAAAAAAAGAACAAACTGTTCTGTGCACAACAGAACTAATGAAGCACACTTTCCTAAGGATATTCAGCCAATAAAATACAAACCATCTTCCTCTACATATCCTTCAAGACATCTTGTCCTAATACCCTCTGTGCTTCCCCTTCATATTGCCACAGTACGCTCAATTCCTGCCCCTGTCCTACCGACTGAGCAAAACATGATTCATGCTGTGATTTAGAACAAGTTACATACTCTATCTCCCAATGCTAAACTCTACAGATGACTATTAGTTTTCCCTAAAACTCTTCTCTACCTGGGCCACAAATTCATTTATTAATTGGTGAGGTCTCTAACTCTTCACCAAATTTATAAAAAAGGGGCCAATAGAGGATTTATTGCTTGTGGTGAGGGGACTGACAGAATAACTATTTTCTTTAAGCAATATTTCTAAAAATAAAGGCCATGCATTGTAAATGAGTTGATATAAATTGTCTTCCTATAGTCTTACAAGACATATGTAAATTGAAATATATACCTCTAATAGACAAGATTAACATTTTAAAATTAAACAAACAACTGAAGTAGCTCTTTCTCCTCCATGTCCTCAAAACAATCAAACAAGTCTCTGTAGAAATGCTAGAAAACGTATTCTGAGACAGGGTGTGGATGGCTGAAAGAGCCCAGTACAGCGGAGACAGAAATAGCAGAACTTTGTTTATGCCTTATTTTGCACTTGATAGCATGTTGCAGGGCACAGATTAAACTGTAAAGCAGCAGGTAAGCCAGGCACACACACACAGCCATGTACAGAAACAACCTCTGACAGGAGCTGCCAAAAGCGACATGGCCATCGATTACTGAGAACACACTTACAGAACTCGGTTTGAAGCAGAGGCTTTCTTTCTATGTGCTGCACTGAGATGCATGGAAATGAAAAGATAAGAAAACAGTAAGACAGGTTGCAGTTTTAGAGGAGAAAATTGTGGGGTAGGTAAAAAGAAAAAAAAAAAATTAGGTTTTCCCCTATTATTTTATAGGTTATTTACTGTAATTAGAAAAGCTTAAAAGTGAAGATGAGATCAGGCTAATAAAGCCTGATCAAAGTTTAAAGTATCTTAATAGATCAGTTGAGTAAAAATTCCAAAAAACTGTATTTTAAACTTGAAGTTTTTTGTATTTTCCTGCTTACCTTTACTTATTTGAGAACTGTCAAAACAGAGTTCTAATAAAGATTAAGGTTTGATATTTATCTGGTATGTACAGAAATTTAGGGCAATTAGATGGGTCACTGATTACAGAGTGATACAGTTTATTTGCTTACTCAACCAGGAAACTAATTATACCCCCTGCCCACTGATTTTATTAGATGCCTTTCATTTTCTTCAAATCAAATTAACCTACCAGCTTTGGTGTGTTCATGTTCCACAATGCTAATCCAAATCATCAAAAGAAAAGCTAATTGAAAATCTTTCTTGCAATTATAAAGCAATGAGGAACATGTTATGCAGTGTATTTTTCTGCCTTTATGACCACATCACTACAATTATCAGGTAATACATATTTATGATATAAGTTGGATTCTATAACACTGTATGCAAATACAACAGGTCTCACAAGAAAGAGGACTAAATTTCTTCCTTAGAACTCTTTATCTGTTTATAGAATTAAAAAAAAAAATCAAAAATCACAGCCTCCATACAAGAAGGACAACAGAACATGGACGTTCTGCCTCTGCACCAATTTGCTCCCGTGGTTTACCCAGCTCTCTGCATGCCCAGGAAAGAGATGGCAAGTGAACAAGGAATTTCTAGTCTATGAAGTACTTGAGCTAAATCAGTAATTTCAGAAGTATTCTCCTACAACTCATTTTACTGTTAAAATCAGAACTTACTGCATCATAAGTACAGATACTACCAACTGAGTATAGCTCTGAATCAGGAAACATAACCTTAAATATCTGTCTGCAGTTTTGTTCATTTGAATTTTAAACTTTCATTTCGGATACATATTGGCGCTTTTTTATTATTTAATTCCTACTTAGAGTGGAATTTACTAGATTATATTTAAATATAAAGTACAAATAATTAATTTATCAATTTACATAATTTCTTTACCAAGAAATTAATAAACACACACAAAAAAGAACTCAATTTTCTCCATACTGTTCTTTTACATTTAATTTCTATTTTGTTCATCCTAGTGAAACGCTGATTTGCCTAACTTATTCTCCATTTGAACTGTGATTGCAAGTTGATTTTAAAACATATTAGTGAACAAAAAATTATGCCTAGAAGAAAGTATTTGGACTGAAGCAAGTTAAGGGATAACATAAATGGACAGAGAAGTGGGTCTGTCTTTCTTGCCTTAATCTACTGCTCCACTTCCCAGAAGCAACTAAAGCCAGATGTGAATAATTCTATTAGAAACCATTCTTTCAGGAAATAATGATTATTTATTTGAAATGAAATTTAGAATTAGATGTTAATGAAATAAATGCATTTTAAGCAGGAAGATGGTAGTTGCTTCTCAGGCAGCCACTTATTAGATTTTTTGTTTAAGTAACTGAAATACATTGGATGGTTGTTTTTATGCAAATCCCATGTAATTTTACAGTGTTTCACCTCAGAACAGTACAGTTATGTCACTTAATTTGGCACTAGTCTAACTGTCACTTAGTTTAAAGCTGACCCACTTATGTCTACACTGGCTTTGCAATGAGACTTCATTGCAAAGCAACATTCTAGAAGATCATGTGAGGTCTTAAACTTTGCATTTACCATATATCCTGCAGGGGAATAGTACAGAATATATCAGGTCTTCAAAGTGAAACTGGAGACTACTTTTGACATGGAGTACAATGAAGTAAAATTCTTTGAAAAACAGCAGGATTACAGCAACCTGAGAATTCAAAATGTGAACTCACAAATGTTTTCTTGACAAAATTTTAAACCCTCAAAGTAACATGTCCTTAAAAGAACAGGTCTTCTGAAGGATAATAAATAACCTTTATTTTGAAGGGGGCAGAACACTGCATGAGCATGCAGAATATAATGTTCTGAGCTCTGATAACAAATATGTCCTGGTGCTATTCCTGTCACTAAAGATCAAAACTGTAATTGTAACTGTGGATTTTCAAAGTTCTATGTGTAAGACGAAAAGGATTTACCCTTATCATGAGAGGAAGTAATTACATCATGAGGGAAAATATAACTATACAGAGAGTTTCCAAGCAGTTGAGTATCAGATACTTAAGAGTAACCGCAGGGGAGAAAAGCTCTGAATTTGAAGATAAATACAAGAGGAAGCATTAAAGTTGCCCTTATTTCTAAAAGCAAGCCTTGGTATAAGGAAACTAAAAATTAAAACCAAGAAATATACAGTTGATGACAATAAATAAAATGAAACCTACTGGTACCGGTTTTTGTCCTTCAAAGAGTTTTTTCTTGAATTGCTCCCTTCACTAACATTATCTTCACCCTCCTCAGATTCCAAACTGCGATTGCAGCTCCGGATAGTTTGGAAGATACTGTTTGTTGTTGATTCCTTTTCTGGATTATTTAAACCATCTTGACCTACTCGTTGCAAGAAATTATCTTGTCCACTGTAATCTGAAACAAACTAGAGATATCTAAAAGATTAGTATAGTTATAAATAGAATCTTGTGTCATCTATTTCTCACTGTAGAAATTTTTACAACTAAGAATATTTTAGCGCTTATTTCCTATTAGCTTCCAATGGGATTTTGTGCCCACTTGCAATCCAAAATAGACCAAATCACTTCATAAATCAAGTAACGTAAATTACAGTAATTCCTGAAAACTTTTAAAAAGCCTGAGTCTTAATCTCTTCATCTAACAGGGGCATTTTTCTTTTAAAGCCAAAATGATAAAACTCAAAGGAACTGTTTCTTTCCATGGAGGAGAAGATTGATCCATTGTCCTACTAAACTGCATTTTTAAGGAACTGAAAACTTTTCAATCCACAACAGGTTAAGTGGAAGGTCAGAGCATTTAACAGAAAATAATTAAGGCTCTACATACTTACTTTACCCAAAGTATAAACATGATCCTTTGCTACTAATGCTAATTTCTCAGTATTCTGATACTGCACTACATATAAACAACCAAACCTAAATCGCTAAGTAACTACGGAAATTAAATCCAGGTCCATGTAATTCAACAGTCTCATAACTACCTGGTTTAGAAAATATGAATTAAATGATGCCTTTGTATAAAATTACATAAAATAAAGCACTGGATGGCTACAAACATAACATCTTAGAACACTTATCTCATTTACCTCTAATGTTTCTTCTTGTGAGTTATATCGTGGACAGAGTCTGATTAGGCTTGATGCTCCATCCAAAACTTCGCAAAGCTCTTTTAAAAATACACCACAGAAAGGAACAACTTTACAGCCTGGAATATTGAGTGCCCTGTTGACCACTTTCCTGTATTCAGATGATGACTCATGTTGTGCCATGGCGTCTTTCAGACTTCGCATGGTTTCAATATCAGACTGGTCCATAAATTGCCACATTTTTAAGACTTTTCTTGACCTATGGCAAAAAGAGATCACAATATATATTTTAAAAATTTTAAACAATTTACCTTCAAGTCCAATACCCACAGCATATATGTAATAGAGGAAACTATCATTGCTCAGAAATGAATGAATGAACAAATGAATGAATGAAATCAAGGTCATTATTTTTAAGATATTTCTGTCCTCAGAATTATTAAAGAACAAAGCTAAAAGGGAGACACAAGCAGTCTGATCTACTGGAGTAACAGGCCACATTTTAACAAAAGCCCAGCTGTGTAAAATATACCAGCAGGCCTTTTAACACTTCCATTATGCCATTGCCTAAAATTTCTAAGGACCTAGAAAGAAATAAGAAAAGATTAAGAAAATCACACAAAGATAAATCAGACTGTTTCTTACACATTCTTGTAATTATTTTATGAGCCATCCATAAAGTTAGCAAAAGCTGGTGTTTTTTAATCAAATGTATTTTTACAAAATTAAAATTATTTTTTTCTGTTTTGTTCACAAATTATTTATTTTCACGGAAATAAGGAAGTCAAGACCAGGTTTCAGCTCTCAGGCACCAGTGTAGAGCTGCAGCTGAAAAGAAACTCTAATTTCAAACAGAAATAGCTCCAAGAACTGTGAGTACCTCTGGGAGTTCTCTCACCATCTGAGCTGTATGTCTGTGCAATTATATGGCCTTTCTGCCCACCTCTGGCTTCAGACATATCAAAAGGTCTATAGAAATGCTCACAATAGAATGCCCTTAACCCCACTTTCTGTCCCTGTCCCAGAAACACTACTAATCAGCACTGGCCTTCCACTCCTCTCTTTCCCTTGTGCTATGCAGATGCTTTAGAGATAAAATTAAGCCCTTAATTGGCTTTGCATTTTCCCTCATAACTCACATGGCTTGCAGATTGTGGATGTAATTCTGCTGAAATGCATTCCCCACGCCTATGAGTGTTTCAAATATGTTTTATATACCAAAAATACAAACATATAGCTTATTGAGAATCCTTACTAAACCATGAGAAACAGCAATGCAAACACTTTAGAGCCTTGTTACACAAACACTATATACAAGGAGGGTTAAAGCTAAGAGGAGGGAAATCTGATCTTAACTCTTCCTCGTTTGGTCCCATTTGCTGCCCTGTGAACTGCCAGTCCTAAGGCACTGCTTTCTGGCTCACCCAGCCTTGCATGGTGAACCTGTAATTCCATAGGGAAGCAAGCAGAGACTCCTACCCCAAGTTACATTAGTTGTAGCTCACTAGATAAACCACAACTGCTTTCCCATTTTCTTTTCACATTTAATAAACTTCTATTAAAAAAAAAAAAAGAGAGAGATGTTTTCTAATGCAACATATTCAGCATGTACCATGAGAACTGGTAAGAGTCTCCAGTGCATTTTGAGAAAAAAAAGCATTTAGCATGCTTCATTTTTCCAAAAGGGATTACTAGAAAGTCACTTGAGATGATGTGATTTAGCCACAGATTTCTGTTTACTTCATTGTTCTCCAGGGACATCTGCTTAACAGAAGCTGAAGTGTAATCTATCACTGAAAAGCCATTTAAAAAAAACAGTTGCCAGTACCTTAGCCCTGCCAGAAACTCCATTACAGCATTGTAGTTGCCCATATTCCAGCAGCATTTTGCCACATGTACTAAATATGAGAAGACTTCTCGTTTCTCCTCCATAGAACCTGCAGTCAGGATCAGCCAGGTAACCCACGAGCTCACCTTGTAAAATAAACCAGACAGTACGGTCAAACAAAGCAATGTCACTTGGAGCATTCATGTATACTTGACAGATAATGTGGGGGTTTTTGTTGTTTGGTGGGTTTTTTTTTTCCATCAGGAGGTTATCAGTCAAAATTCCACCTATACACTCATGGCCAAATCACATATGCATTGCAAACACAACTTATACAGAGACATATCCACATTACAACAGCTCAATTATTAACTACTCCAGAAAAACTTCTATTAAACAAAGAACTACTGCATCTTAATATAAGATATTCTGAATATGCATTGAGGCCACAGAAGAAAATGGACAGCTTAAGCTAGAGCTGGTTTCTAAAGCTGCTGGAGAGATCTGCAGTGTAAATTCTCATTCACATGGCTTACAAATCTCAGCCTCACACTGAATAACCCTTGTTCTTTCAACATGGACAGTAAAAGTTGATAAACTGGAATTTTTTTGGTTTGGGTTAATTTCACAAAACTGGTAGATTTATTTAATGCACAAATTTGTTAATTTCTATATGCATCGAACTTTGAGATAATTCACATTATCTGTTTGTGTCATCACAAATGAAGTAAACAAAAAAAGAAAACACCTTTCTTTCTAAGTGTGACCATATGAGCAACTTCTGTTTGATGAATAATTAATGCCAGAATCAGAAATCAACTTAGTACATGACTGTGTTTGCATTTAAACAAATAAAAATCAAATCTTCATTTTATCAGTGTGCAGATTTTCTTTCCAGTTTATGTTCCCACAACAACCATAAAAAGTAGTTATATTTCACATGGAAACCTAATTTAAACCAACTGTTTCTTTTTACAATATGACTCTCTGGAGGCTTGATTTTTGTCATTGTGTAAACACTTAGGGGGCAATAAACGTGATTTGTTTACTGACACTGAGTTCCATTCTTCGGTCCTGAAGGATTCAAGTGTTTACAGACAATACCAGTGTGAGGAGATGCTTATAAAAATTAGAAAAAGCTAGTTCACCCCTCAGGAGGCATAGACTTTTGTTTTAAAAACCAAGCATGTGAAATGAAATGTAAGTGCATTAGTACTCACAGAAAAAAAAAAGCCCACTGAAAATATATAGGGTTTCCCTTTAGGCATGTCCATACAGACTCAGTGTTTTTGACCCTCCCACTCCTGAGGGAGAACAGTCAAAGAATATGAAGAATCTAAGTTACTATTTAACCTTTCTGATGCCCAAATCACTCAACAGCAATACATGAGAAATGTCCAGATGAGAAGACAAGTCATAGTTCCAATATATGCAATATATATGTCTGTACCAAAAAAAAAAAGGTCACATTTTTAGGACTGAATTCTTGGAGAAATTAATAGAAATTAATTCACTGAGGACATACTCAGGAATGAATACCACGACTATGGGGATGCTTTAATGGGATGTGCGGATAAGGGGACAACAGACTAATCACTGCAGCAGCTCAGAATGAGAATTTGAATTCAGCTGAAATTTTATTTGAAGTGTTCAATTGTTATTCCTAAAATACAAAAACTGCATCAACAAAGAAGTGTATACCTGAAGAGCATGAAGGTATGGAAAAATATAAAAAAAACCAAAACAACCAGAGCACTGCATGACAAGGGGGTCAAATAAGGGCAAAACCAGAACAAAAGGTAATAAAATAAATCCATTAGAAATCAGAAATCATGAAACAAAACAGTCAGGTCTGTAATTCAGGGTTGGCACAGATTTGTTTGTGTATGCTGGAATAAAATTACATGTTGTTTTTGGATATTATTCCCATTTTCCAGAAATGGTTCTGTTAGGGAATGCAAATGCTAAACATGCAATCTCACAGAAAAAATCCAATACTTGTTTGGTATGAAATACCAAGTGTGGTAATGACAGTTTGATTAATATGATTCTAAACATTTTAAAGAATAACATAATTTTAAACACATATGTTTTAATCTAAGGTGGTAAAGATATAATGATCAGGAGAAAACAGTCTCAAAACTGAGAAAGAATGTCTAAATAGGCAACTGACTTCAGACTCCCCACTAAGAGGAAACCTTGAAACTAGGGCAACCACTTGTTGAAATTTTATTTAATAGAGAGTTCAGGACTGCTATAAACAGTTATGATGAACTCTTACAAACAATCTGTAAAAGCAAACAAAAAATGATAAATGACAGCATGAACAAGCCTTTGCAGCCTCCAGATACCGTATGTACATGTACAAGCACAAAAAGGGTACAAAAGGCACCATGAAGTTTATGCTCACTCCCCTTGCAGGACAACAATAGACTTACTGGAAGAATAGAAAATATTTAAAGAATCTTCTGCTAAACAAGAAAGAAAAATAAAGTGTCTGAATCTCTAAATTTTAAAACAGAACGGGCAAAGGCAGACATAGGAGTTTGGGCAGAATCAGGGGAGGAACTGAGCATCTGAAAATACAATCCACTCCTGAAAACTCGCCTGCTTTAGAAACTTCCGTATTTTCATTTTTCCTGGAGATCAGGGTAAGTGTGAGGAGTAGATAATGAAAAATTTCATTCATGTTGTTTCACATGTTGAATTTAGGAATGGAACAGAATGGTTCCTGTACATATGCTACAGACTGTTTTGACTTTTATAGAGTATCGAGCAGTAGCCAGGAGTATAAATTGACCTCACTGGTGGTTCAGAAGAGCATAAAGTCTCTATAAAGCTTTTCTATGAAATATTCAGAGACTGCTGATTGATTCTGAATGTATCATACAGACCCTAGAAAAGGGGATTATGGGCTTCTCAAAACATGTATTAGCCTTGTACCCCAAAACTGATTTCTTGGGAGAATTCATCAGCAAGATTAGAACAGAGATGATTAAAATGCAGCAGTACTGTCAGAAAGGAGGGAGCAGAGGAAAGGAGCTGTGCACAAATGTCATCCCTTTTCATTCAGTGAGGTTCCTGCTGAGTGCTGTGCCTAACATCTGCAACAGTTTTCTACTCCTAGTTTTTTTAGTGAAGACAGATGGAAAGGGAAAAGAGTTCAGTCAGATAACAGCACAGTGGAGGTCTTTCCCAAAAGTTAAAGCCCAGTTAGGAAACAAACACAAAATTAATAAGCAGAACTATCAGTTATCCACTTAAAATGCCTGGGGGATTTTACTTATAGAAATTTTGAAAGTGGGAGATCTGGTTGAATCAATAGGCTTGAAAGGTGCAGAAAATCAAAGCTGAATCTCAGCTGGCTCAGATCACTTCCCAGCTCTGAACTCCCTGAAGATTTTATTCTGCCCTGGCAGACTGAAATGATGGACCCAAGAACTTTATCGTGAAGAACAATATTCAAAAGCTCTTCAATAAATGCATACTGGAATAGTTTGGCATTAATTTGAGGCGTTTACTCATAATGGCCACAGTCAAAATGACTGATGTACAAACAACATTGAAGGTGTTGTTACAACTCACTGCAGGTGAGTTGAAAGGATCGCAATCTTCAGGAAAAACCATGAATGACAGCTCAGAGGAATCACAACTGTATCAATTAAAATATACTCTTTAATTTTGTGATTTACTGATAAATATGTGAGGAATGTACAGTATATCCTCAAAGGTATGCCTCCATCATCACTGACATTCTCAAATGTCTCTGTAGTTGCCACTTGATCCCCAAAATACCTGACAATGCATACACTAAATTTTTGCTGCCTGGGAGGCATAAGTTTCTTCTGCACTGACAGTATTCAAGAAATAACAAATTTGTCATGATCTTCATTCAAATGGAAGTTCAGAAGTGGGACTCCTCAGATGCTGTCCATGTACACCTGAGCTAGATGCACCTCACACAGAAGAAAAGTGGAGGACAACTCTGCATAGGTACTTATTTCTTGGTGGCTATGGAATTAATCTGAAAGTTGAATTCAGAATCCTGTTTTCTCCACTTAGACAAGCAAATATCACAGACAGTATTTTGAAGTGGCACAATTTCTCTGTCACCAAAATCAGGGGGTTTCTAGCAGGGGGAAGGGAGCAAAGGGAAGCTCCACGCTGGCAGGCTCTGATTTCTGGACACTTCAGCCAGCTGGATACAGAACACTACACTACCTCCTCTTCCAGCAGCTCCCTCTTGGTTGGCTTGCAGAGTTTCCTCCCCAGCTGCATCACACCTGAGGAACACCTCAGCTGAGGATGAAGCCCCACCAGGTAGCCAGCTGCCTGGTTATCAAGCTTCCACTACACTACACTGCTGCTACACAACTCAGGCAGTGCCGGGACCACAGACAGCACATCCCAGCCAAAAGAGTGCACAGTGTTAGCCTTGCCAAGGAGACCGAAATACACTGCAAGTATTTCTCAGACTGAGCAGTAAAGCTTTTTGGACCACATTTTTGTGTTAGACAGCACTTTAACATCAGATCACAATGTATATATCAACACAGTAATCATTATTTCCTTAGTTTACTTTTTTTCACACTTGACTTACATAGTTCTGTTTACGTAACTCATTTTAAACTCCCTTCAGAACAGAAGTCACCACAGCAAACCTATAATTAGATTTCCGCTGCACTGATGATGAGCCTGAAAAGTATGAGAAAATGTATCCTGGCTTTGTTACTATAATCCACATGATTACAAGACACGAGAAATGTAATAAATTAAAACACGATCCACTCAAACAAGTTGATAGCAACATCAGTCTTTTCATTCAGATGGATAAAAATGAGTGTCCCTCAGGATTACTGCATAGTAATGTTAAGTACTAAACAAGCAAAATCCAACCAAATACATACTTAGTTAAGATTTAAATATTTTCCAGTGCCCTAATACAGAAAAGCACTGAGAACATTGTGCCAAAATCATTTCAGACATATAGTAAAGTAGCCTTATTTGCAAATTTTCAGAATTACAGGAGTCTCCTTCAAATCTGAATCTGAGCTCACAGGACCTGCACCAGATGTCTGTACTGAGCAAGTACAGTAGGACAAAAAGATCTGTACAGTTTCACGTTATCTGAAATTATCTTTTTATA